TTCTGGAGAAAACAATAGTTAAATTTTCTTGTTTGTTTTATGTATATATATAGCCAGGGTGCAGTTCTCCAGACTCTTGATGCCACATTTGAGGCTGGAGAAATGAAATAAGATGGTAATATTCAGTTGTTTTTTTACTTCCCCTCATCCCCAACCCTGTGTAAATAATTTCAATATAAAATTGTAGTAATGTTTTTCACAGTGGGCTCTGGCCTCACACTGGTTTGATCTGATTTCCAGCTTTACCACTTAATTACCTTTGTGGCCTTAGGAAGTCATATTAACCTCTCTAAGCCTCAGTTGTTTTCATGTACAGAAATACTACTAGGGTTGAGAAGATTAACAGTCAATAATTGTTACTTCTGTGTATATTCATCAATACTATATATAAAACTGTTCCTACATGGTGTGATACATGTTTAATTGTGAACATTTATAAAATACACAAAAATGCAGAGGAGAATAAATTATCTGTGATTCTACTTTCTTTTTTGTTGTTAAATTTTTGGTGTTAAATTTTAATGTATACACTTTTTTTTAAAGTGTGTCTTTAAGAAATGTATCTTACGGAATCTTTTCCCTGCTTAGCAATAGATTATGCATTTTTTTTCTTATTATATATTATTTTAATGGCCTCATAAAGTTCCTCCTTTACAAACATTTTATTTCTGTTTCTTTAATGTTGTAAATAATGTCATAAGCATCTTGTACTTGAACCTACTTTATATTAATAAAATAATTTAAAATACATAAATCTCCAAAAGTGGATCTTGATCTCAGTGCATCTTTCCAATTTAGTTGATATTTTCAGTTTTCAATCCCATTACCAATATATAATAATATTTAAAATAATATTTTTCAGTATATCTAAAAACAATATTATAGTAATATACAATATTTTAAACTATTTTTTGAAATATTTACAATAATAAAATAATGTTATACAATAATATTTAAAACAATATTTTGCCATTTTTGTGAGTTTTAAGTAGAACTTTGCAATTCATTTGAGTTGGGTTTTAGGATAAATGAATATATGTCATATTTATTTGTCAATTATATTTCTTCAGTAAAATCCTTGTACATTTTCTTTGCCTGTCCTTCTTTGGGGTCCTGAGAAGTCTTTCCTCAATTTGTTTCAATATAAGGATCTGTATTAGTTTGCTAGGTGAAGATGGAATGCTATGAGCTGAATTGTGTCTTGTCAAAATTTGTGTGTTGAATTTCTAACCTCCAATACCTCAGAATGTGACTGTATTTGGAGATAGGGCCTTTGAAAAAGGTAATTAAGGAAAAATGCAGTCATATGGGTGGGTGGGCCTAATCCAGTATAACCTCTTTAAAAAGTGTAGATTAGGAGACAGACATACACTTAGGAAGATACAGAAAATAGTCATATGTAAGGCAAGGAGAGAGACTTTGAAAAAAACAACCCTGCCAACACCTTGATCTTAGACTTCTGGCCTCCAGAGTTATGAAAAAGTAAATTTCTGTTGTTTAAGCCACCCAGTCTGTGATATATGTTATAGTAGCCCTAGCAAACTACATACAGTGCCTTAACCTTTTTCTTACCATACTTGTTATAAATATTTTTTACTAACACATTATGTCACTTTTAATTTTAGGTATATGGTTGGTTTTTTAGAGGTATAGAAGTTTTATCTCAAAACTTAGAAATTTTTATGTTATTGTTTTAAATATGTATGTATAAAAATGCATTCTTTTAAATTTTTAACTACTTGCAATACTGTACAAGACAGTAAAAACAAAAGAAAAACATTATTTATACTCTTTGAAAGTCTGAAGCCTCTTTGTTCGTCATATCAGAATTTTAAGGAATACCAGTATTGTAATATCAGCAGTGCTGCAATATCTGATAGCAGCTATTCTGGTCCTGTCTCCTATCCTATTGTATTTGGGACCTCCTCCCCTCCCCTTTTTTCCTGTAAAGAAAAAATTGGACAGGAAATTTTTATAGTTATCCTACCAACAGGGTAGTAAACTTCTATGATCAACTTTTTCTTAGGGTCCATTCTTCTCATAGATGTGATGTGATATGTTGATCACTTTGGTTGCTTTATACTGCATGGTTACAGTGTTTATAACTTCATACTGAGAAAGAATATTATTAGCACTTTGGAGACCCTTCTTGGTCTTCAGTGTTAAATACATGATTTATCTTCTCTTTAATCCATTTCAGTTAGCCCCAATAAATCAATTAGGACATTATACATAACTTTTAGGTAAAAGTCAATTCTCCAAACTCATACCTAGATTAAACAGGCATATATTCATCCAGGTGGGATCCATATAGCTAGTATTAGACCACCGCTCTCAATGAAAACTAGGAAAACCTGTTTGAAGGCAGCAGGCAGCTGCTCGGGCAACAATAAGTGCAGATGCCAACCTTTCAGGAAAGGGAGAATCTTGTACAAGTAAGCTGCTTCAACAACTTTTTCCCAGGGGACACTTGCTGATGTTAAGTGTGGGCAGGAAACAGGATTCAGGCGTTAGGCCCAGGAATACTGTTGCTGAAAGACAAAGAAAACAGCACAGAGGTTTTGGTGGAGTCCTAGGTGCATCAAGCGTGAGGAGATTCTCCCCTCAATTCAGTTGTTTAATCCTGGGGCTACCTGGGATGAGAAACTTAAAACCTAAGTGGAAAATCTTTGAAAATCAGGAATGGAGTTTGCAAAACAAAAATTAAATTTTTCATCTGCCTTGTACGAGGTTTCTTAACAATAGGCTTTCAGTTGAAACTTCAGGTGGCAAGCAGAAAGCAGAGGTAGGCCTGGTCTTACCAGGACAACCCCCTAATGTGGACTCAACACCATCTAGTGGCTTAACAGAAAGAAGGCTGAACCTTCTGTGGAGACAGATAACACCATCAAATCTTTGCAAGTTTTTAGATACAATCAAAGACTGAGGAGCCACCAAAGGACAGGATTACGTGACTGAAAGGGAAAACAGCTAATAACGGATCCAGAGATGATCCACATCATTCAGGTGTATTAGATGAAACCTACTTTCAGTAACAACTATGTCATGAACATAGAGGATGTATGGAAGAAATTGATGTGAAATGAAGAATTTCATTAGCACATTGGAATGACTAAAAAGATTAAATGGAAATTCAAGAAGAGAATAATACAGTATCTAAATTTAAAAACTCATTAGATACATGTAATAGAAGATTAGACACATCAGAAAACAGGTTATAGAAAATATTCAGCTGAAGCATTGAGATAAAAGAAAATGGAAAAAAACAAAAGAGGATTTACAGATTTGTGATACACATGAAAAGATCTGGCATACATTTAATTGAATTACCAGAAGGAGAGTTTGGACAGAAGTAGTTTTGAAAATATATTGTATAGAATTTTTCAAAACTGCAGAAATAGATCAGCCCAGAGATTTAGGAAGTTTTGTTTACCCTAAGCAGAATAGCTACAAAGGAAACCACACCTAGAAACATTGTAATAAGATTGCTGGAAACCAAAGCTAAGGAAAGATGTCTTAAAAAGAGTCTGAGAGGCTGGGCGCTGTGACTCATGCCCGTAATCCCAGCACTTTGGGAGGCCAAGGCAGGCGGATCACCTGAGGTCGGGAGTTCGAGACCAGACTGACCAACATGGAGAAACCCTGTCTCTACTAATAATACAAAATTAGCCAGGCTTGGTGGCATGTCTGTAATCCCAGCTACTAGGGAGGCTGAGGCAGGAGAATCACGTGAACGAGGGAGAGGGAGGTTGTGGTAGCCGAAGGGTGCGGTGAGCCGAGATTGCGCCATTGCACTCCAGTCTGGGCAACAAGAGCGAAACTCCGTCTTAAAAAAAAAAGGAGTCTGAGAGGCCCGGTGCGGTGGCTGACGCCTATAGTCCCAGCTCTTTGGGAAGCTTAGGCAGGCAGGTCACCTAAGGTCAGGAGTTCGAGACCAGCCTGGCCAACATGGCGAAACTCCGTCTGTACTAAAAATACAAAAATTAGCCGGGCGTGGTGGCGGACACCTGTAATCCCAGCTACTCCGAAGGCTGAGGCAGGAGAATCGCTTGAACCTGGGAGGCAGAGCTTGCAGTGAGCTCAGATCGCACCACTGCACTCCAGCTTGGGTGACGGAGTGAGACTCCGTCTCAAAAAAAAAAAAAAAAGAGTCTGAGAAATAAATGACATTCAAAAGAGTCAGCAATAACTCTGATGGCAGACTTCACAACTGAAACAATGGAAGCCATCTTGAAACTGTTGGAGGAAAATAGCAGCTAACCTAAAATTCTAAATATCCAGCAAAATATTCTTCAAACTTGAATGTAAAGAAAAAAAAAAAATCATTTCCAGAGAAATAAAAAACAAGAAAATCATTACCAGCAACCTGGCCTAAAATTAAATCAAAACACTAACAAAACAAGTCAACAGCAACAACAGAGTTCTTCAGGTAGAAGGAAGATATCCCATTAAGGAACCGTTAAAATGATGAATAATAAAAAGGGCAAATATGTGAATAAATATAAATTGATATTGACTGTTCAATTGATAAATACTGTTCAAAAACAGTAATACAGTATAGTTTTTAAAAGATAGAAAAAACAATTGTAAAGTGAAATGTGAGGGGAGAAAGTAAAATTAAAGTGTGAGATTCTGGCATTATTGAGGACATTGTGAAGTGATACTTTTTGTTAGATGAGTCAACAATGCATGTTGTAATCTTAGTAGTAGCCACTAAAAGAACCATTTTTAAAACAGTAAATTATTGAGAAGGAAAATGGAATAATAGAAAACAAATGAGTTTTTAAAAGGCAGGAAAGATAAAAGATTAAAGAAACTTAAAACTGGCAGAGCAAATGAGAAATAGTAAGATGATATAAATAAAGCTGCCTATTTGAACAGTAGAATCATAGTTTTCAAAATATTCCATAAAAATACCTTATTTTGCAGTGTAAACATATAATGTATATAAATATGTAAAAATATACAACACATACATACTTGTTTTGTTTTTCTGACAGCTTCTTTGTGATATTGGCCACAGTGAAGAAAAACTGGGCTTTAACTATGAGGATATCATAATTTGGTAAGTGTAGTTCATTTCCCTCTCCCATCCCTTCCAGATTTTAGTAATTTTAATTTTAGTAATTTTAAACTAGAAATAGAATAATACAGCACCTCATATTTGATTTCATAGAAACAGTTGCTTGAACATTAGAAAAATTTAAGAGCTACAGTAGTTTTATTTTTGTGAGTCTTTGTGATATTTTCTAATTACTAAATATGGGGAACCAAAATGAATGTTCAAAAATACCTGGACTTCTATAATTTAAACTTTTAAATTAAATCTGAAATTTGCAGACTAAATTTCTCATATTATTCCCAGGAACAAGAGGAACCTATAACTCTAGGTCTTACCTAAGAGAAAGTGGTGCTTACAACAGACTTGATTTGCCCATGCACACTAGTAGAGGCATGTTATATGGTTTTATAACTATCTTTTAGGTACTCTTAGGAATTAAAATTGATATAAAAGGTCTGTGCCTGCTATTGGTGTAAATTATTTTTATCATTGATTTAAACCAATGATTTTTGGGAGAGGTATGGAACAGGTAGCCAGAGAGAGGATATTTGATTGTAGAGACACAAATGGTATAGCTTGAAAAAGGTGTATTTAATTTTCCATTGTTTATATAAAATAAAGAACAGAAGGTAAGAACTCAGTAACATTTTCTTGATTGGCAAGAATGTACTAAGGAGGCACAGATTTAAAAAAGCAACACTAAGTGAAATTGTATGGGTTGGAGTGAATAATTTTTATATATGTAGAATGCTCTTAGATAGAATTCCGTTCATGACTAGAATTTTTGCATATTTTGGCTGAGGAACAATTTGGTAATATAATTTTGTGTGTATTTGAAACCCGTGCAGCAAAACTTCTATTTTGTTTGTTTTCATACAGTTTGCGGTTAGCTTTATTAAATGAAGCAAAAGAAGTGCGAGCAGCAGGGCTACGAGCGCTTCGATATCTCATCCAAGACTCCAGTATTCTCCAGAAGGTGCTAAAATTGAAAGTGGACTATTTAATAGCTAGGTAAATTTCCTAGAGTTGTTTATATGTTTTTGAAATTTTGTGTTGAGTTTTTAGCACGTCTACCATAAAGTGTACAGATTTTTACTCTAGTATAACCTTGATGCGTTTTGCATACACACACACACACCCCCCCCGCAAGTAACAAGATTTAGATCATTTTGCACATCCCAGTAAAGCTCTGTTATACACTGCAATCAGTTGTAAACATTATTCTAACTTTTCCTATTGCACACTAGTTTTTCCTCTTCTGGAGCATTGTGTTGGACGTATACAGTAATTACTCTTTTTTTCTCATTATTATCTTTGAGATTCATCTATGTTTTTTTGTTTTGTTTTGTTTTTGTTTTTGTTTTTTCTTGCTGTGTAACATTTCATTTTATAAATAGACCACAATTTATTCCATTCTGTTGAAGCTTTTCTGGGTTGTTTTCAGTGTTTGACTATGGAATAAAGTTGCCCTGAATATTCTTGTAGAAGGCTGCAAGAATATTCTTATAGAAGAAGAAATGCACTCATTTCTCTTATGTATATGTAGAACTAGAATTTCTGGGTTATAAGATACATGTATGTTTAGCTTTAGTAGATATTGCTGAAGAGTTTGCTAAATGATTGCACTGATTATACGTCTACTATTATGTATAGGAGTTTCAGTCTCCCCGTATCCTCATCAACACTTGATATTTTCAGTTTTGGGTTATATCGTTTCTTGTGTGGTTTTCATTGTGGGGTCTCATTGTGGTTTTAACTTGTGTTCCCTGATGAGTGATGATGTTAAGCACTTTTCATTTGCTGGTTGAAAGTTTGGGTATCCTATCTTTTACTCATTTGTAAATTGGATTATCTTTCTTGTTATGTAGGAATTCTTGATATCTTCTGGATATGAGTCTTTACAGATGTATGTATTGAAAATGTCTTCTTTCAGTTCGCCTTGCCTTTGCTTTGCCTCTGCCTTGCCTCTTCACTCTTTTAATGGGTCTTTGATGAACAAAAGTTCATAATTAGTGAAATCCAGAATGCTTTTTGGTCTATTTGGAAGAGATCTGTGTTTTCTTTTAAAGGTTTTATTCCTTTATACGTGTTTAAGTCTTTGAACCATCTTACTTGATTTGATCTCATTTGATGGTTGTGTAAGGTATGAGATAGATGGCGAGTCATGATTCATTTTTATCTTTGTGAATATGCAATAAAATTAGCACCTTTTATTGAAAACATTTTCATTTCACGTCTAGATTTGTGTCACCTTTTGTTGTAAATCAGGTAGTTCAGTAGCAATCTATTGTTGGGTTCTCTATCCTCTTTAGTTGGTGTATTTGTCCTTGCACCGGTTTCTCAACTGTTTTAACTACTGCAGTTCTATAATATGTCTTGATACCTGTTAATGTGAGTCTAATTTTGTTTCTTCAAGACTATTTTGACTAATCTGGGTTGTGCATTTTCATATAAGTTTTAGAATAAGATAGTCCATATCCACACAACTTGCTGGGATTTTAGTAGGGATTGCATTAATGCTGTAGATCAATTTGGGGTAAATTTACATCTTATTATTGAATTTTCTAAACTTTTATTTATTGGAGACTTTGATTTCTGTCAACAGTATTTAGTAGTGTGTGTTTGTTTTTTGCAGAGGTCCTGAACATATTTATTCAGTTTATTCTAAGATATTTTTATGATAGTATTAATGTAATTTAAAACTTATTCTTTTCTGTTTTTGTTACTAATATACAAAAAAATTGAGGGGAGATATTGACCTCTTATTTAGCAATCTTGCCAAATTCACTTTTCAGTTCTGGTTGTTTTTAGATTACTTTGGATTTTCTATGTGTATAAGCATTAATTATAGATGATGTCCATTTTATATCTTCCTTTCCAATCTTTATCTTTTTCTTACCTTACTACATGAGTTAGAATATTGCACTGAATAGGAATGATACTAATGGAGTTTGTTTTGATCTTGAACTCAGGTGAAGAGCATTCAGTATTTCACCATTATTTATACTTTTTATAAGCTATTACTAGATTTTCTTTATATTCCTAGTTTGCATTCTTTAAATAAACACCACTATTTGTGATATATTGCCCTTTTCATATATAACTTAATATCCTTTGCTAATATTTTATAGATGTTTGCACCTATGTTCATGAGAGGTATTGACCTTTATTTTTCCATTCATCTGAAGTCTGTCTGGTTTTAGTATTGGGAGTATGTATGTTTGTTTTATAAAACAACTAGGGAAATGTGGCCTTGTTTTCATTTTACTTGGAAAATATATGTAAGATATGTGGGGTTTTTTTTTTTTTTTTTTGGTCCTACATGATTATAATTCATTAATGGATCTCTCTGGCTGGGTTTTCTTTTTCAGCCTGTTATAAAATTATAGACTCAATTATTTTTCACCTATATAGTACTTTCTGACTTTTCTTTTTCTTGTTTCAGATTTTGAAGCTTTGTTGTTACTTCATGTTTAGAAGTGCTAAATCTTCATGTTGGGCTTAATCCTTTTATAATTATAAAATAACCCTCTTTATTCCTAGTAATACTTCTTTTATGAGTGTTCATGTAATCTAATAATACATTACCACCTTTCTTTTGCCTAGTGTTTGCATGGTATACCTTTTACCATCCTTTTACTTTCTTTTTTTGTTTTTACATTTAAGTGTCTCTCCTGTAAATATCATATCGTTTTTTCTTTTTTTAATATCTGGTTTGACCAACTTTGTCTTCTTACTGGAGTATTTAGACTATTTATGTCTAGTGGTTTATTATGTGCATGATTTATGGACTTTGTCTAATGTAATTATTTGTGTGTATTTATGAGTTTGTTGTCTCATTACTAGCTTCCTAATACTTGAATTTGTTTGCTACATGCATGATTTATGGACTTTGTCTAATGTAATTATTTGTGTGTATTTGAGTTTGTTGTCTCATTACTAGCTTCCTAATACTTGAATTTGTTTGCTATCTTGGTATTTCTGTTCTATTTGTCACATATGTTCTTTGTTCTTGTATTTCTCATTTTTTTGCTTCATTTGAAATAACAGTTTTTTTCCTCTTTTAGTGTCTTGGCTATGAAGTCTTTCCTTCTTTTTAGTAGTTATCCTAGAGATTGGAACATATATCCTTGATATATTTAGTTCTGCTAGTCATCTTTTGTCTGTAAATCCCTCTATTTTGCCTTCATGTTCAAAGGCTGTTTTCATTACCACCTATTTATTTTTTAGTGCTTCGGTTATTGTCTTCTGGATTTCTTTTTCTTCTTAATTTCTTTTCTTTTCTCTTTTTTTTTTAATAACAGTTGAACAATAAGTAGCTTCTCTTTCTTGTTATGTAGGAATTCTTGATGTCTTTGAGATTCTTTCGGATGTATCTTTTTACCTCTGGCTGCTTTAAAGATTTTTTTTTTTTACTCTGTTGTATATTCTGCCCTATTGACTGGTACTCCATCTATACACATGTTGGCTCTTTTTACTGTCCCACGTTTCTGATGCCGTTACTGTATTTTTCAACCTTTTGTTGTGGTTAATCTTTGTATTTCAGTGTGCTTACTTTTCTACTTACCTGTTTATTAAAAACCTTTCATCCTGCTAGTACATGACTCATGAATTCTTAATTTCAGTTATTATTTTATTTATTTTAGGTTTTTTTTCCCCCGTTTGTTTGAGATGGAGTCTTGCTCTGTCGCCTAGGCTGGCGTGCAGTGGCGCTGATCTCAGCTCATTGCAACCTCCGTCTTCTGGGTTCAAGTGATTCTCCTGCCTCAGCCTCCCGAGTAGCTGGGACTACCGGTGCGCACCACCACGCCTGGCTAATTTTTTTCTATTTTAGTAGAGACAGGGTTGCACTGTGTTGCCCAGGCTGATCTTGAACTCCTGAGCTCCAGCAGTCTACCCGCCTCGCCCTCCCAAAGTGCTAGGATCACAGGCCTGAGCCACCGTGCCTGGCCTATTTTAGTTTTATTTAAAGATTTCAGGTCTCTGCTTTATTTCTTCATCTTTTCTTCTATTTTCTTTAGCATATTAACCATGGTTATTTTGAAGTCCCCTCTGACAACTCCAATATGTGAATCACCTGTATTCTATTTGTAGTGCCATTTTCTTTTCTTAGTTTTTGGTTCTTGGCCCTTTGTTTTAAACCGTGCCTCATATTGTCTGATAGAATGGTGAACATCGGTATTCAAAATTGTTGGGGCTGGGCTTGGTGGCTCATGCCTGTAATCCCAGCATTTTGGGAGGCCAAGGCGGGGCAGATCACTTGAGGCCAGGAGTTCGAGACCAGCCTGGCCAACATGTGACGAAACCCCGACTCTATTAAGAAAACAAAAATTAGCCAGGCACGGTGGCACGTGCCTGTAATCCCGGCTACTCAGGAGGCCGAGGCACGAGCTCTGTCTCAAAAACAAAAAATCCAAACAAAAAAAAAATAATTATTGTCTCAGGATCATGTTATTTGCATTTTAAGAGAATTAAGTTTTGTTCTAGAATGTTGGTTTATTACACTGATTCTGTTAAAGTTTGGTTTTAGATTTGCCTTTGCTCCTAGAAGTGGCTATTTATGATCTCAGAGTGGATATATTGAGCAGAATCTTTTCACCTTAACCAGTCTTTAACCCTAACCTATTTCTTAGAGTATTGTGTTTCTGCTGAAATCTATACTCTGTTCCTTTGTTTCTTAGAGTGTAATTCTGCTTTTGCACAATGTAGATGTTGACAAGTGTCTTAGAGAGCACTGCATGCAGATTTTAGCTCATTTTCTTCTGTTTTCTTCTCTCAGGGATTTTACCCCTCAAGTCCCAGCTACTTTGGCTGCCCTGATGTTAAACCTCTGTCTTTTCAGGACAGCCTGATTTCTGCTTTCTGTTAGAACTCTGCCCATGAGGCCAGGGATTGACATTGATAAATGCACCCAGGGAACAAATGTGGTTGAATGTGGAGCTCCCTGTGCTTCTTTTTTCAGAGATTATTTTCATTGCCCTTTTAACAGTTGTTTTATATTGTAAAGTATTTGTTTTTTTTTTTAAACCTTTATGGTTGTTTTTGGCAAGACAGTCAGAACCTCCCATCTCTGTCATGACCAGGAATGGAATTCTAAGTCCATTTGTATTTTAATAGAATTGCCTTAGATTAATTGTATTCAGATAGAAGAAATGCTTTTTGAATCGCAGACTATCTATATATAAAGCATTGATTAGAATAATGAACTGTCTAAATAAAAATGCTCCTACATAAACAAAAGACTTTCAAAATTGGATAATTTAACACATTTTACAAAGAAATGTCAGTTGGGTGGTATTTGTTTGGACATCAATATTTGAAGTGAATTCAGAATTCAAATTATATTTTGGTGAGATAGAATTTTTATGGATAATGCCTAATTTAGTTTAAGCCCCGGTCAAAATTGCAATTAAATGAAAAGAGCCTTGAACTATTTTTCCTTTACAATTTTTATAAAATGTCTGAATTTTATCAGAGAAAAGTGAATTGTTTTAGTAGACTTTTAATACTTTGTTTATTATTCTTTCTCTATAAATAGATGTAGTCTTATCATATAAATTACTATACTGTTCTTTCCTGAGGTTTTAAAAGAAAAAATTGGTCTTTTAATTGACAGATATTTATCACTAGAGATGTATGCGGTAATTAAGTAAATATATGTTGGTACTGAGAAATCATATACCAAAACTTTAATATACCATATTGACATGGTGAAAATGGGTTTCATCAAGCAGTATTATGATACGAAAAGTTGTTTAATAGAATTTTATCAATGATTAATATTTTGTGTATTGTTTAGGTGCATTGACATACAACAGAGCAACGAGGTAGAGAGGACACAAGCACTTCGATTAGTCAGAAAGGTATGCTCTATGTGTGAGAGTAAAAGGCAAATTTATGGTTTTTATGTTAATATTTACATTTTTAGATTAGACTGTTTTGTGAAATCTTGATTAAGATTAAAGACTAAACTTTTATTAAACATTTTTATTAAAGTTATGTATTAAATAAATTCATTAAACTTTGAGGTAAACAAATATTTTGTGGAATTATTCTATGTGATTGGGTATAGCTAGGACAATATTTCTTATAAAATGTTTATTGTGAAGAATATTTCTTCCTTTAATAGACATGTAAATGTAGTTACCGCTTTGATAAGTTACTGAAGAAAGAGGATTACTTGCTCCCCATCCTAATTTTCTCTTTATTGCATACTTAGAGTTTATAGTATTAAATGGAAGTCACAAATAGAAGTTCATTGTTTTAAAGGTGAATTTGGATACAGTCTGTGGGGAGTTGCAATAAACAATTCAGGCCCTTATACAGGATAAAAGGTCACAGCCTAAACTCCACAAGAGAGGGTGTTAAGGACAATCCATAATGCTTCTCATGAGAGGCCTTCAGGGAATGCTTTGTTGTTTTACTTGATAACCCTAATGGTGGAAGAAGAAAGTGAACTGAGAGTAAATTTGGTTGGGACACAGCCTGAGTGAGACAAGTATCCCTCATATTTCATCTTAATGTTCATGAATCATGAAGTATATGTTCATTTGCATAAAAAATCTAAAAATATTTACCAGTTGAATTTTTTAGTTCTTTTTTTCCTCTTCCTATCTTTCAATTCCATACAGGTTCCAAAATGGTGTACTGTTCAGTTTCTGTGTTAGCTAGGGTTCCCTCTTTTTCACTTTTCTTACAATTGTCTACCTTTTGGTTAGTAATAGTACTCACGGGTGAACAAGTAAATGGATGAATTAAGTCTTAAAAGAAGTTTGAAATTCTACTAAGAATGATACTGGAGATAGATTAGGAGACTTGAACTGTTACACTAGGATTGTAATTTGACTTTTCAAATTCAGATTTTAAAAATGTATGGTTTTTATTTATACAATTCTTCCTTCTTCCATGACTGAGAATTCAGGATGAAACAAAATTTGTTTCTGAAGAACCTAGAACAATTTTTTCGTTATTTGGGTTATGTATGTCAGTATTTGTAATATTAGGAACTAAAATATATATTAATATATTTAAAATAATAAACACATTAAATACAAACATAAATAACATTTTTATGAAAACCATATTTTATTTTACTTTTTCAATAATTTTTGGGGTACAGGTGGTTTTTGGTTACATGGAGACGTTTAGTGGTGATTGAGATTTTTGTGCCCCTGTCACCCAAGCAGTGTACACTGTACCCCATATGTAATCTTTTTATCCCTCACCTCCTCCCAAACTCCCCCCACCTCCAGTCCCCAAAGTTTGTTATATCATTCATATGCCTTTGCGTCCTCATAGTCTAGCTCCCACTTAGAAGCAGGGAACATACAATATTTGGTTTTCCATTCCTGAGTTAATTTGACTTAGCGTAATGGCCTCCAGCTCCATCCAAGTTGCTTCAAAAGACGTTATTTCAATTGTTTATGGCTGAGTAATATTCCATAGTGTATAATACCACATTTTCTTTATCCACTCATTGGTTGATGGGCACTTTGGAATGACTATATTTTCCAAAAAATAATGAGAAGAGGGCTATTGTTTCAGAGTTTTGCAACTCTCTTTAATTTTATCTTGATACACAAGTCATTTGGATTATCATATTTGCTTCTGCATTCAGTCTGTTTTAATAACACATGCGGTGGAGCCCCTGTAAAACTTTAGTACACACTTCTGAGAAGATAAGAGTGAAAAGGACAAATGATATTTTTGTATTGCTATGCAGAATCTCTGAAAATATCTTAAGGACCCTCAGAATTTCCTGGTCTACACTTTGAGCATCACCGCTGTAGAGACTGCTGTCAGAAGAGAAGACAATTTCAAATGGATTCAGACAATTAAATTCAATTTTGGATATTTTAGTAAATGTTTTACTTCAATTTTGTATTTTTGCAAAAGTTAAAATTTAAAGTAGCTCAGGTTTTAATTGCTCAAAAATAATTTAATAGCAGCATAACAAAAATATCATTTCATTTGGTTGTCTTCTGAGATGCAGAGTAGTTGACTCACATACCGTTTGTGAATCCTAGAACAGGAAAATTGCTGATATTTGGTGGTGGAATATAGAATCAGAGGAAGAATTGTGGCACAGGACTTTTCCTTTTTTTACGCTAAAAGAATTAGAGTGAGAGCACATTTGCCGAACGAACAGTGGCCTCTATTGGCCAGAGAAACTATAATTTCATTAGTGCTTTTAGCATCTGAGGCACCCTTTTTTTTTTTTTTAAAGTAAAACCTTGGCAGCTGTACTACAGGTTGAGTATTCCTTTTCCACAATGCTTGGGACCTGAAGTTATTTCCCATTTTGGATTTTTTTGGGTTTTGGAATAGTTGTGTGTATATGAGAAGATATCTTGTGAATGAGAAGACTTAAATCTAAACACAGAATTTATTTATGCTTCGTATACACCTTGTACACATATCCTGAAGTTAATTTTGTATAATTTTTTTTTTTTTTTTTTTGAGACGGGGTCTCGCTCTGTCGCCCAGGCTGGAGTGCAGTGGCGCCGTCTAGGCTCACTGCAGGCTCTACCTCCCGGGTTCACGCCATTCTCCTGCCTCAGCCTCCCCAGTAGCTGGGACTACAGGCGCCCACCACCACACCCAGCTAATTTTTTTTTTTTAATTTTTTTTTTTAGTAGAGATGGGGTTTCACCATGTTAGCCAGGATGGTTTCAATCTCCCAACCTCGTGATCTGCCTGCCTCGGCCTCCCAAAGTTCTGGGATTATAGGTGTGAGCCACTACACCCAGCCAATTTTGTTTAATATTTTAAAGAATTTTGTGCATGAAGCAAAGTTTATGTACATTGAACCATCAGAAAGCAAAATTGTCAGATGCTGAATTTTCTACTTCTGACTCATGTCAGTGCTCAGAAAGTTTGATTTTGGAGCATTTTGGATTTTTGGATTAGGGATGCTCAACAGTAGAAATTAATGTTTAATATTATAATTACTGTATCACTGAATTTTTTTGTATGCATTCCCAAAAGTCTTAAAATTTGTAATGAAAGTATTAGTCTATTATATTTTAAAAGATAAGGAAAAACACTTTTTGCTTTAGGATAACTTACGCTATGAATAATTAAGGAATTCTTATGTTACTTTTTCTTTTATTTTACTCATCTCATTCATTTGGAAATATTCTGTCTGCTTTTTTCTTTTCCATGTCTCTGATTTCCCCCTTCCAATGCAGGCAGCTCTTTTGTGGCTTTATTTCTCTCATTTTTAATGTAGTTTTTCCGCTAGTCAGTTGTTACTATTCTTTTCTTAATCTTATTTAAATTCTACTTGCCGTCTACCTAATTTGAACTGTCTTTTTTTCATATATAATTTCTTTATTCATGTAATAAGGAATTAATACCACAAACTTTTTACATTTGAAAGAGATTCGTTGACTGGAATCTCATGCCCTTGATACGTGGCAAGATAGTGGCAAAGCCAGAGCAAGAACCCTCTTCTCCAAAATTTCCAAACCTACATTGGCCCATGAGTTTGAAGTTCAACCTGCCTACTTTGGCCTTCAGAGCCCAGTTTTGGTCCAGCCAACGATTTCTATCTGACATGTCTTATGCCACCATGTGTAGGCAAACTACCCACCACTACTACCACAATTATTACTTCCTTCCTGCTCTTTTCATTTTCAGCCCTTCTCACCTTACATTGATCTTCTAGTCTCAGCTCAAATGTTAGATATACCCCTTAGGTAACTCAGTGCTTCTCTAATTCCTTTGTGTCAGTTCCACAAATTTATTACCTAGTCAGGATCTTTAATTTGTTTTATATGTCTGTCCTGTCATGCCAGAAGAGATTATTAAACTTTTACAGTTTTAACAGTGACTGCATTCTATGGCTTCTCCCTTATTGAGCATTCATTGGTTTATGAAGAAAGCATTCTCTGATTTGTACACAGTTTAAGAGTTTCTTTGCATATATTTCCTGGAAAATAAGAAGAGTGATTTTATTTGTAAAAATTTTATGTATCTATTTCATAGCACAATCTGGTGAATTAAGTAAGTATATGTTTACTAGACACAAGATTTATATAGAATTTTATACTTGAAACTTTAGAAATTATCTGTTCATACATGTCTTCATTTTACAAATGAGGAAATTGAGGCACAGAGAGGCTTGGTTTAGCCAAGGTAGCATAGTTTATTATAGCAGACTTAAGTCTAAAAACCATTTTGCCTGGTTTTTCAGCAAAATATTTTACAGAATATATTACATGCATTTTGCTATTTGGAGAAATTTTCTTACAAGCTCCTTATAAGAATAGTAATAGATTAGAAAGTATTAAAAAATAACTTAATGTCATAAAATGTTAGAATTCTTTCACCCAGGAAGATCGATTTCCTATACTTCCTATACCTCCTTCCTTCTCCCTTTCTTTCTCTCCTTTTTCAGTTAATTGAAAAAACTGACTTAGAAATGAATATGAAAGCTTTTGTAGATTCTACAATTATTGGAGATATGTTTGTTTTATGGTTGTAGAACTGTTGTATAATTTCAGGTGAACTTTGTAATATGTCTTTAAAATGCTGCTTAAATGACAAACCACTTACAACTACTAATCAAACAGATCTTTCTTTTGATCTTCTATAAGACTTAATTGTGTATCTTTCATTTAGTTATATTGCATCCTCTGATTGTTTCATCGCATAAGTTTTATTTTATCAATAGGACAATAAATCTAGTAACATCTGGGTCAGATTAATTTTCTGTAATATTTTATTACCATACAAACAAAATATCTTCTTTTATTTCCACTCCAGGAACCTGCCATTTTTAATTAATTTGCAAAATAGTCTTTATTTACTAAACAATAGTTAGCTACATAATTTTCTGTTTTCCAAATCAAAGACATATGTTACCTATTTTCAGTATTCCAAATGTTATTGCCGGTTAGATCTTTCATTTAATGTGAGATTCATCTGAAGTTTTATTACAAGATATTTCCATCAGAATTTTTGAAATATTTAAAATAGATTTGGATTATGAACTCTGCTTTCTGGTATAGCAACAAGTGATGGATGGGGAAGGTGACTAGAGAGTAAGGAGATCATTAGATATCTATTGCAGTAGTCAGAGTGAGAGTGCGGGCCCAAGTTAGTCAGTTGATTAGATGAGGAGAGGGGAGTAGAGGTAAAGATCTTATGGAAGTAAATTGGTAGGACTTGGTGATGATGGTATATGGAGAGATGGTCAGGATCGTAAAAGTGCAGTAGTATATTGACTACTATTGTCACCTCTGGTTTACTTTGTCTAGGTACTGAAAAACTGTTTAAGATTTAGTCCCTATTCTAGAATAATTTAAAATCTCAGAAACATTTGGTCAATGAATTTATAGTTTGTAAGAAAAAATCTAACACATTTTCCATGGTAATGGCTATTAACATTTGTTACATCAATTATTAGTTATATTAATATTTTGAAATATCCATAAGAAGCAGAAGATTAAAATTGGTACCTAGATCTTATTCTGGATCTTATTCTGTGTTATTAACTATTTCAGTTTGGACAAAATAGGTTTAAGAAATGTGTTACTAAAGTAACTTCTTTTTCTGATTCCTTCTGTTACAGATGATTACTGTGAATGCTTCCTTGTTTCCTAGTTCTGTAACCAACTCATTAATTGCAGTTGGAAATGATGGACTTCAAGAAAGAGACAGAATGGTCCGAGCATGCATTGCCATTATCTGTGAACTAGGTCAGAATTTTCTTCAAGTAACAAAAATGTAATATTTTAGAAAGGATATCTAACATTTGATATGTATATATTTTATTACACTCTAAGTTCTGGGATACATGTGCAGAATGTGTAGGTTTGTTACATAGGTATACACGTGCCATGGTGGTTTGCTGTACCCATCAACTTGTCATCTACATTAGGTATTTCTAATGCTATCCCTCTCCTAACCCCCCGACAGGCCCCGGTGTGTGATGTTCCCCTCCCTGTGCTCATATGTTCTCATTGTTCAACTCCCACTTATGAGTGAGAACATGCAGTGTTTAGTTTTCTGCCCCTGTGTTGTTTTGCTGAGAATGATAGTTTCCAGCTTCATCCATGTCCCTGCAAATGACATGAACTCATCCTTTTTTAATGGCTGCATAGTATTCCATGGTGTATATGTGCCACATGTTCTTTATCCAGTCTGTCATTGATGGGCATTTGGGGTGGTTCCAAGCCTTTTCTATTGTGAACAGTGCTACAATAAACATATGTGTGCATGTGTCTTTATAGTACAACGAGTTGTAAATATACCCAATAATGGGATTGCTGGGTCAAATGGTATTTCTGGTTCTAGATACTTGAGGAATTGCCACACTCTTCTTCCACAATGGTTGGACTAATTTACACTCCCACCAACAGTGTGAAAGTGTTCCTATTTCTTCATATCCTCTGTAGCATCTGTTGGTTCCTGACTTTTTAATGATTGCCATTCTAACTGGGGTGAGATGGTATTTCATTGTGGTTTTGATTTGCATTTCTTTAATGATCAATGGTGATGAGCTTTTTTTCATATGTTTGTTGGCCACATAAATGTCTTCTTTTGAGAAGTGTCCATTCATATCCTTTGCCCACTTTTTGATGGGGTTGTCTTTTACTTGTAAATTTAAGTTCCTTGTAGATTCTGGATATTAGTCCTTTGTCAGATGGATAGATTGCAAAAAATTTTTCCCATTCTGTAGGTTGCCTGTTGACTCTGATGATTGTTTCTTTTAATGTGCAAAAGCTCTTTAGTTTAATTAGATCCCATTTGTCAATTTTGGCTTTTGTTGCTATTGGTTTTGGTGTTTTAGCCATGAGGTCTTTGCCCATGCCTATGTCCTGAATGGTATTACCTAGGTTTTCTTCTAGGGTTTTTATGGTTTTAGGTCTTTAATCCATCTCGAGTTAATTTTTGTGTAAGGTGTGAAAAGGGGGTCCAGTTTCATTTTTCTGCATATGGCTAACCATTTTTCCTAACACCAATTTTAAATAGGGAATCCTTTCCCCATTGCTTATTTTTGTCAGGTTTGTCAAAAATCAGATGGTTGTAGATGTGTGACGTTATCCTGAGGGCTCTGTTCTGTTCTATTGGTCTATATATTTGTTTTGGTACCAGTACCATGCTATTTTGGTTACTGTAGCCTGTAGTATAGCTTGAAGTCAGGTAGCGTGATGCCTCCAGCTTTGTTCTTTTTGTTTAGGATTATCTTGGCTATATGGGGTCTTTTTTGGCTCCATATGAAATTTAAAGTAGTTTTTTCCAATTCTGTGAAGAAAGTCAGTGGTAGCTTGATGGGGATAGCATTGAATCTGTAAATCACTTTGGGCAGTATGGCCATTTTCACGATACTGATTCTTCCTATCCATGAACATGGAATGTTCTTCCATTTGTTTGTGTTCTCTCTTATTTCCTTGAGCAGTGGTTTGTAGTTCTCCTTGAAGAGGTCCTTCACCTCCCTTGCAAGTTGTACTCCTAGGCATTTTATTGTCTTTGTAGCAGTTGTTAATGGGAGTTCACTCATGATTTGGCTCTCTGTTTGTCTATTATTGGTGTATAGGAATGCTTGTGTTTTTTGCACATTGATTTTATATCCTGAGACTTTGGTGAAGTTGCTTATTAGCTTAAGGAGATTTTGCACTGAGACGATGGGTTTTTCTAAGGAGACCCATCTCACGTGCAAAGACACACATAAGCTCAAAATAAAGGAATGGGGGAGTATTTACCAAGCAAATGGAAAGCAAAAGAAGCATGGGTTGCAGTCCTAGTCTCTGATAAAATAGACTTTAAACCAGCAAAGATCAGAAACGACAAAGAAGGGCTTTACATGATGGTAAAGGGATCCAAGCAACAAGAAGAGCTAACTATCCTAAATATATATGCAACCAATATAGGAGCACCCAGATTCATAAAGCAAGTTCTTAGAGACCCACAAAGAGACTTAGACTCCCACACAACAATAGTGGGAGACTTTAACACTCCACTAGACCACTAGCCAGACTAATAAAGAAGAAAAGAGAGAAGAATCAAATAGATGCAAAAAAAAAATGGTACAGGGGATATCACCACCAATCCCACAATATAAACACCTCTACGCAAATAAACTAGAAAATCTAGAAGAAATGGATAAATTCCGGACACATACACTCTCCCAAGACTAAATCAAGAAGAAGTTGAATCCTTGAATAAACCAATAACAAGTTCTGAAATTGAGGCAGTAATTAATAGTCTGCCAACCAATAAAAGCCCAGGACCAGATGGATTCACAGCTGAATTCTACCAGAGGTACAAAGAGGAGCTGGTACCATGCCTTCTGAAACTATTCCAAACAACAGAAAAAGTAGAACTCCTTCCTAATTATTTTTTGAGGCCAGCACCATCCTGATACCAAAACCTGGCAGAGACACAACAAAAAGAAGAAAATTTCAGGCTAATATCCCTGATGAAAATCGATGTGAAAATCTTCAGTAAAATCCTGGCAAACCAAATCCAGAAGCACATCAAAAAGCTTATCCACCATGATCAAGTCGGCCACATCCCTGGGATGCAAGGCTGGTTCAACATATGCAAATCAGTACACGTAATCCATCACATAAACAGAACCAATGACAAAATCCACATGATTTTCTCAATGGATGCACAAAAGGCCTTCAGTAAAATATTCAACACCCCTTCATGCTAAAAACTCTCAGTAAACTATGTATTGATCGAATGTATTACAAAATAATAAGAGCTATTTATGACTAATCCACAGTCAATATCATACTGAATGGGCAAAAGCTGGAAGCATTCCCTTTGAAAACTGGCACAAGACAAAGATGCCCTCTGTCGGCCGGGCGCAGTAGCTCACACCTGTGATCCTAGCACTTTGGGAGGCCGAGGCAGGTGGATCACGAGGTCAGGAGATCGAGACCATCCTGGCTAACACGGTGAAACCCCGTCTTTACTAAAAATGCAAAAAATTAGCTGGGCGTGGCGGCGGGCGCCTGTAGTCCCACCTACTTGGGAGGCTGAGGCAGGAGAATGGCGTGAACCCGGGAGGCGGAGCTTGCAGTGAGCCGAGATCACGCCACTGCACTGCAGCCTGGGCGACTGAGTAAGACTCCGTCTCAAAAAAAAAAAATAAATAAAAAAGATGCCTTCTGTCACCACTCCTATACAACATAGTATTGGAAGTTCTGGCCAGGGCAGACAGGCAAGAGAAAGAAAGAAAGGGTATTCAAATAGGAAGAGAAGTCGTCAAATCGTCTCTGTTTGCAGATGACATGATTGGATATATAACATTTTTAAGGCCTTTAATACATGAATTCTTTATTGTTACAAAAAATATGAAAAAGCACATTTCTGGTAGGGGAGTAGAGAACTTGTGATTTAACAAAAGATTTCAGTGTGACGTTAAAATTCTATAAATTTTAAACTTTTCTTCATCATTAAGTTAGCATAGGAATTGTCTAAATTCCAGTAATATTATATAATAGAATCTGTAGTCTGGCTGTCTAACATTAGTTATTCTGTATGTTTGTATTAGTTCATTTTCACACTATTATGAAGAACTACCTGAGACTGGGTAATTTATGAAGAAAAAAGGTTTATTTGACTCACAGTTTTGCATGACTTGGGAGGCCTCAGGAAACTTGAAATTGTGGCAGAAGGCGATGGAAGTGAGGCATGTCTTACATAGCAGGAGAAAGAGCGAAGGGGAAGTGCCACTTTTAAACCTTCAGATCTTGTGAGATTCACTGTCACGAGAGTAGCATGGAGAAAACTGCCCCATAATCTAGTCACCTCCCACCAGGTCCCCTCCTCGACACATGGGTCCAATTTGAGATGAGATTTGGGTGGGACACAGAGCCAAACCATATCATTCTTGATGTGGGTTAAAAACAGTAAACAATCCATTATGCCTAATAATAATAAACTCTAGGCCAGGCGTGGTGGCTCGCACCTGTAATCCCAGCACCTTTGTGAGGCCAAGGTGGGCAGATCGCGAGGTCAAGAGATCGAGACCATCCTGGCCAACCAACATGGAGAAACCCCGTCTCTACTTAAAAAAAAAACAAAAAAAAAGCCACGCCTGTAAGCCCCCAGCTACTCAGAGCCTGAAGCAGGAGATTCGCTGTGAACCAGGAGGTGGAGGGTTGTGGGTAAGCCAAGATCACGCCACTGCATCGCCTGGGTGATAGGCTGAGTGTATATCAAAAAAAAAAAAAAAAACACAACAACAACATATTTTAAATGTTCAGCCCTCACTTATTATCAAAGAAATACAATTTTTAAGTGACAGAAAAAATTTTTTCCACACCTAAAGTAGGAATGATGTTGGTTACTTCCTTCTTGAGGATGATAAATGATAACAAAGTTTAAGCTAAAAAAAAAAAGAGACCAAACTAACCATTGAGGATTTTTTAAAAAGACCACAATATTTGTTGATTTAGAGACAAGAGTCAAAACTGTGATTAGGGAAATTTAAAAAAAAAAAAAAATAGTAAAACTTGACTGTGTGCCAATCTGTAGGACTGCCTGGGTGCCTGGAAAGCTATACTCAAAGTTAATTTTTCATTATAAAGTGCATTATAATTAAACAGAAAATAAATGAGTGAGCCAGTATAACTCAAGAAAACGAGAGAAGAAGAAAAAAGTCCATTTCATGTTAAGCAGATGGAGAAAAACCAATAAAACTAGAAGTCTTAATTAATGAACAAGATAGATTATGTAATCTAAATTGTTAATTGGAATAAGAAAGTAAAATTCACAAATGTTTGGAAAACCCAAAGGTTTGAAATACAAAAGATTAATAAGGAAATGAAGAGAATAGTTTTTATGTGTATTTGGAAACTTAATAAAATGAATGGATTTTCAGGATAAATTTTAATTTCCGGTTACTCACAAATTGTAAAATACAAATAGCTCAAAAACTATAGAAGTATTTGAAAACATTTATGAAAAAATTGCTTCCAGAAAACTCATCCAGGTACTTTTGTTTTAAAAAAAAAAAAAGGTAATTCTTACGTAGTGTAATCTGATTTAGAGCATTAAAAAGATACAAATTTCTTTTCTTTTTTTTTTTTTGTTTTTTTTGTTTTTGAGATGGAATCTCATTCTGCCACTAGGGTGGAGTGCAGTGGCGCGATCTCAGGCTCACTGCAACCTCCGCCTCCCGGGTTCAAGCAATTCTCCTGCCTCAGCCTCCCAAGTAGCTGGGACTACAGGCACCTGCCACCACGCCCAGCTAATTTTTTTTTTGTATTTTCAGTAGAGACGGGGTTTTACCATGTTGGCCAGGATGGTCTCCATCTTTTGACCTTGTGATCCACCCGCCTCAGCCTCCCAAAGTGCTGGGATTACAGGCATGAGCCACTGCACCTGGCCAAACCTACAAATTTCTTATTATGTAACTAGCATTTTATGTACATGTACACAGATACACATATACTTAGATAGATAGATAATTAGAAGGCTACTTTGTTAGCGTTCAAGAATATTTATCTCAAATCAACAATCAATGCTATTCTTAATGGTGAATTTCTACAAATACCACATCCTTGTAACTTAGCCAAAATAATAAAATATGTGTATATATTGGAAAGGAGACAGTATTACTTTGTAGATGGTATCTTCTATATAAAAAAATCTCTGAAGTAAAAACCAACTTAGTTTTAGGTAGTAGGACTATGTGAAAACAGATTTGACAGATTTTTGTGTTTCAGCAATAATCAGTAATTAGAAAAAGCAATACTATGTTTAAAGTAGAAAAAATATATAAGACAAATTTTATAAGAACTGTGTATGACTTGTTTGTGTGTTTGGGGAGTACTTTTGACTTTGTCAAATTGATTCTTAAGAAGATACAACTAATCTGTAAGGGTACAAATGAGAACGGTGGTGGCCTGTGCAGTGGAGGAGGACTCACTGGAAAGTAATGTGAGAGATCTTTCTAGGATAATGAGAGTTCTGTATGTTGAGTGGACATCTTTGGAGCAAGAAATTTCTGAGCTCAGAATTACTAAACTGTGTGTTCTGTGTGTGTGTTTAATAAAAATACAGAGAAATGAAATATACCATTTTAAACAAAATCTGAAATTAAATCACAGATGAAAGATTTGAGACAGATAAATGGCTAATATCCCTACCTTATAAAGAACTCCCTGCAATTGATAGGAAAAAAAAGCCATTCCAGTATTATATGGACAAAGGGTATGAAAAGACAATCCAAAGATATTTTAAAAATCAGGTTTTGGGGAAGTATATTCAGTGACTCTTTATCCACTTGTCCTTTTATCTACCTGTTCTTATAAATGTTGTTATTACAAAGTTTTTCAAGTCAGAAAGGCAATTAAGTTTTATAGCCCAGATTTTTTATTACTTTTAATAATTACCCCAAATATAATATGTTAAGTTTTTCTCTTTTATTTTAGCACTTCAGAATCCAGAGGTGGTGGCCCTTCGAGGTGGACTAAACACCATCTTGAAAAATGTGATCGATTGCCAATTAAGTCGAATAAATGAGGCCCTAATTACTACAATTTTGCACCTTCTTAATCATCCAAAGACTCGACAGTATGTGCGAGCAGATGTAGAATTAGAGGTAGGAACTTTAATATTCTTTTCTAGTTTTAAAATATGATTATAAATGTATACTTTTACTTTGAAGTATTAAATTCTATAGATGCAGTACCACATTAATTATCAAACCTAAATTAGCCGAGACTGATTTTTTCCCAGCTCTATTTTACAGATCATTCAGTTTGGACTGAATTGAAAACATTACTCTTAATAATATTTCATCAATGTGTAAAGTAAATTTTATTTTTGTATTATATATGAAAAGTTTATGAACCAAATTAGAGTACAAAGAAAGTTATGTAAGAAATTTACCTATTTAAGATTACCATTTGCTTTTAAGGCCGTCAGTACATTGTGAATAGCTCCCGCTAATTATACAATATGAAACCTACTAAAATTTCTGAAGTTGGAAGCCCTTTGTTAGCAACTAATTATATCTACTAGAAGGAAAGCGTATATGTATATTTTGTAAATGCCTTTTAAATTTTTTATGATTCAAGTAGGGTTTATTACAGTTAGTCAAAAGTAATAAGGCTACTGTATACTTTTCTTTATAAGAAAGTATGTAGGGGAGGTTGGAACAGAATTATGCACTATATTATAGTTTCTTCCTGTGCATGTATTGCATTATTGTCTTTTGAATATTTGGAGTCAGTTTAAATCAAGGATTTGTTTGTATTTAGGTATGAAATCATGTGTGATATAAATGATTGATTGTCCCCTAATTTGTTTTTCCAAATCATTTTTTGAAACTTAAGTGTTCTGTTTTTATCAGGACTATTTTTAAAAATGCTTCACGTTATAAAATTGACATCAGCCTATATTATTAACTAACAGTGTTAGTAAAATATTCTTAGTAAGTGATTTCAAGTACATTATTCATTGGAATCCTATGGGAATAAACTGGCACTGTTGATATTTTATAATTTGTTTAGCTTTATTTTTTTTCTTATCAAGTAAGAAAACTATAATTTTAAAATTAGATGAATAAAAGATAATATGTATAGGCTCTGTGTTTTGTTTTTTGTTTTGTTTTGAGATGGGGTCTCACTCTGTTGCCCAGGCTTAAGTGTAGTGGCACGATCATGTCTCACTGCAGCCTAGACCTCCCAGACTCAAGCGATCCTTCCATGTCAACCTCCTGAGTAGCTGGGTCTATAGTAGGCATGTACCACCACCCCTGGCTAATTTTTGCATATTTTGCAGAGACGGGACTTTGCCATGTTGCTCAGGCTGGTCTTAAACTCCTGAGCTTATGCAATCCACCCACTTCAGCCTCCCAAACTGCTGGGCTTACAGGTATGAGCCATTATGCCCAGCCAGCTGCGTTTTTATTCCTATATATCATACAGTGGATTAGCAAAGCCTTTATATAAATGAAACAAACCTCAAACACAGGAAAACCAGAGGTCTGCTTAGTCTTACCAAAATTGCATTGTAGCCTCAATTTAACTTAGTTGGGCATTAGAATAAGGTAATCAGTCCCCTTAATCTACCTGTCTAGCAGAGGAAAGAATAAACCATCTTGAGTGGGAGATAACATCACGTGGAGCCTTTTATAAAGTGCACATTCGTCAGAAATTAGTCATTTAAAAAGACATGACTGTATGACTGAAAACCCAAAAGAAAAAAAAAATCCATAGAAACATGCTTGCAGGTAATTCAGATAGAGGAAAAAGACATTAAAACAACCTCGATTAATTTGTTCAAGAAGATAAATAAAATACATGAAATAATGGAGAATTTCACCATATAATTGGATATGTGAAAAGAATCAAATGGAAATTCTAGTACTGAAAATATGATATCTGGAATTCAGAGCACAATGAAATTAAAATTCAGTTTGAACAGGAAGATATTATTAGTAAACTGAAAGAGAAGTCAATAAAAATATCCAAGGGTAAAACAAAAATAATGTTAATTCACACACAGTAAAGCACAGAGAGTAAAAAGAAAGAAAATTGAACAGCACAAAAGGGATAAAACATAATTGCAGTCTTTGGAGAGAAAAAGTTGGCAGAAGCAAAGATCCAGAGAGACAGTGGCCAAAACTTTGTTTCTAAAACTGATAAAGCTTCATGTTATAAAGCTCAGAAAACAAATGAGATAATACATAGGGAGGAACTGAGCTCTCTTGCCAACAATCAGCACCTTGTGAGTGACACTTCTTGATGCAGATCCTCTAGCTCCAGGTCAGGCCTTCAGATGACTACAGGCTTGGCTAACACTTGGACTGAAATCTTATGAGACCTTGAGCCATAACCATATAGCCAAACGTCTCCTAGATTCTTAAGTCACTGAAACTGTATACATTAATAAATATTATTTGTTGTCAAAAGGAGACATAAAGAAAGGCTAAAGGGAATCCTCAGTTGAAAGGAAAATGACCCAAGACAGAAATGCAGGAAGGAATGAAGAGCACCAGAAAAAGTAAATATATGACGATTTAAGAGTCATGACTGTTAAAAGCAATTATTAATCTCTTATATTTTAAATTATATTTAGAACTAAAATTCATGTCCACAGTAATGCCGAAGACAAGATGGGAAGGTTGTTAATAAAATATAGTAGTTCTAAAGTAGCCGGTAATCCCAGCTACTCTGGATCCTAAGGCGGGAGGGTTGCTTGAGCCCAGGAATTCAAGGTTGCAGTAAGCTGTGATCACACCACTCACTACACCTTAGTCTGCACAGTAGAGTAAGATCCCATCTCTTAAGTTTTAAAGTAATGAGTTATTTTAGCAAGGTTGCTGAATACAAGCAACAACACACAAAAATAATTTGGATTTTCTTTATACCAGCAACAAAAGGAACATGCAGTTCATTAATAGAACTATTTAAATTTTCAAAGACAGGCAAAACTAATTATAGCGTCAGAAGTCAAGATGGTTATCTTGGGATAGATACTGATTGTGACTACAAAGGTATAATAGAGCTTTGAGGATGCCTATAATGTTTTCTTTAGTACTAGTTACATGAGTGTGCTCAGTTTGAGAAAATGAGTTTTAGATACATATTAAACCTCAATTTAAAAGTTCAGAACTTCAATTTGTACATTAAAAAAAATCACCCAACATATTCCCCGATGATGAGTTAGAAGAAATAAGTCCCTCAGGCAGTAAACCCATTAAAGATAGAGAGAAATGGAATGAATTTTAGTTTGTTACAGAAAGGACGCATTTTAAAATAAAGACTTTTCTTCTTCTTCCTTTTTTTTTTTTTAAAATAGAGAATTTTAGCACCCTATACTGATTTTCACTACAGACATAGTCCAGATACAGCTGAAGGACAGCTCAAGTAAGTAATATTGGTTCCTAATAATTTTTAGATAATGTATATGTTAATACTAAAGCTTTTAGGTTTGCGTGATTGCATGTACAGCCAGAGAAATATGAGTTTAAATAAATTTTTTATTTTATAGAATTATGTTGCATTTCTCTCATAATTTACTGTGGTTTAAAAAATTTAAAGCTTTGAGAAATGTAAAGAATAATTTCTTATTTCAAAAAATATATGGTAGACTGTGACAGAAACCAAGGTCATTATTTTTGTATTGTATATATTTTAGCATAATTACATTGAAAAACTAAAAGAATGAAATAACAGTAAGTAGTACAATGAAGAGTGACCTTAACTTACTGAGTCAGCAGAATGATGTAATATGTAGACTTCTGAGAGTAAGCTTAATACAGAAATTAATGAGAGTAGAGTAAAGATTATTATCTAGAAATGAGAGTATCATTTTCAGGGTGTTTTTGGAGAGAAAGGCACATGTTCACTAGGTATTTGGAGATAACTTTAAACTAATTTAGGGATCAAATAAAGCACTCTGTAAAAATTTTGCAAATGACACATTTCCATTAAATGTGTTATCTAGTGTTTTTCTGGTAGACTTTATTGCACTTCAATTAGTTTATTGTCCGCATAAACTTACTGTGATACATAGTACAGGTTTTTAAATTCCTCCCTAAATTTTATAACATTGCCAGGGAAATGTTTTTCATTTTTCCCCCTGCGTTAAAAATAGTGATTTCTGTAATCCTAGCACTTTGGGAGGCCAAGGCAGGTGGACAGCCTGAGGTCAGGAGTTTGAGACCAGCCTGACCAATCTGGTGAAACCCCGTCTCTACTAAACAATACAAAAACAATTAGCTGGGCATGGTGACATATGCCTGTAGTCCCAGCTACTCTGGAGGCTGAGGCAGGAGAATTACTTGAACTCGGGAAGCGGAGGTTGCATTGAGCTGAGATCGTGCCACTGCACTCCATCCTGGGCAACAGAGCGACACTCTTGTCTCAAAAAAAAAAAAATAGTGGTTTCATACCTTTAGTCACATCCGTCATTGTGAACTCAATTATCACACCCTAACATACCATGATCTACTTTAAGCTAAGAGATCCAAGTAGACGTCCTCTAAGACTTCTCCGACTTATTCTTGCAAACTTTAGTTATGAATTGGAATTTGTAAGGCCCTTTTTTGGCTTCTTTAAAATACAGACATTCTCTTATTGACGGAGAGTATATGAGTTTTCTGTTGCTGCACACCAAATAACAATAAGCATGATGGCTTAAAACAATACCAGTTTATTAGATTACAGTTTGATAGGTCAGAAGTCTGGCTCAGCTCTTTCCTGGAGGCTCTGGTGAAGAATCCATTTCCAAGGTCATTCAGCTAGTTGAGAAAATTTAGTTTCTTGCTACTGTACAACTGCTATGCCTTTTTCCTTACTGGCTGTCAGCTGGGGCCACTTTCACCTTCTAGAGGCCTCCCACATTCCTCGGCATGCGGTCTCCTCCCTCTGCAAAGGCAACAATGCTGGAATCTTTCTAGTGCCTTCAGCCTCTCTGACTTTTTCTTTGACCAACAGCTAGAGAAAGCTCTCTAATTAGATCAAGCCTGCTATATGATGTATACCCTGTCTTATGCTCTACTAGACAATATAATATAAACATAGTCACAGTCATAGCAGTGATATCTCATCATGTTCACAGGACCCAGAGATCAGGTCATGGAATCTTGGGATAGGGCCATTTATAGAATTCTGCATATGATGATGGACAATAGGCAAACCTAGATATTTTTTAGAGTTGGGAAGGTGGAGCTATTCTATCAGAATCCTTCCTTTCCTGTTTGATTCTATACTTTCTTCTGAGTTTCTGGAGTATATAGGCAGGTAGATATCAGGCCTGTAAATAAAGGTACATTATGACCAGGGAACAGGGAAATGACTGATTTTTAAAATATTACAAATTTAATAGGTTAGAGATGGATTACCAGACAGTCTATGTATGTCACCAGCTTTTTCAAGAGAAAGAGCGCTGAAAGCTTAACACAGGTGTCTGATTCTCCCTTCCAAGCTACCCCCGCCCCCATTTTCATTTCTGTTATTTTCTCATTTTAACTGGTGCTGCATAGCTTAGTCTTTTTCTTTGAGCTTTTCAATCCACTTTTGTAGACTATGTAATTGCTCACTAATATCTAATTAGATTTTCTGTCATTGCTCTTTATTCCTTCTACTTTTTGTTGCTGTTTTTCCCAGTTCTGTGATTTTCTGTATGCTCACAACCATTAAGAATTTAAGCAGGAAAGATTAAAAAAAAGGTGGCACAGGAAAAAAGGGACAATAGACAGGGTAGACATGACGGTTGGAGTGACATGAATAAAGAGACACAAAATTGCTATTAAGTATTGAAACTGGCCATAAGCCAACCATGAAAAATGTTTAATAGATATAAAAAATTCAATTGCTTAATTAATTGTCAAAACTATTATAGAGGAATGAATAATGGACACAGTTGGGTACATATTGTCAAGGAAGAAAGTAGCTGGTGATGTTAATATGTAGTTATTTGATAACATTTCAGTGACTATATATGTTGTTGAACTTGCTTGTTGGAAACGTTCAAATAAGTTTAGAGCAAAGATTGTGAAGTAAAGAGTGCGTGTGATTAAAATTAAGAGGTTTATGTGATAATTTTCTTTGCTAAGGGGCAGCCTAGTACCACAGATGCTTATTAAGCAGACTTAATGCTTAATTAAATCTTATCTACGAGTAGCTTTCAGAGAGAGCAGGAATGTAGAACTGAGTAGAAAAGCAGAATTTATGACTTAAACGATGTTGTGAATTTAAGTTCAAAGTCAGTTTATAATTGGCTGATTTGCTTTAGTGTAGATCTGATCTTTGTATTTTTTAATGTCTTGTTTTAATTTTATGTGTAAATGTTTAAACATTAATGATAGCTCTTATGATTTAGTAGCAGGAAAAAACTCATTTTAACATTTTATTTCATTGATTCTCCCCCCTGCCCCCCCACCCCCAACAGAGAAGACAGAGAAGCACGATTTCTAGCCAGTAAAATGGGAATCATAGCAACATTCCGATCATGGGCAGGTAGGTTACTCTACATTGCTTTATAACATTCAAGAAGAAAAACTAGACTGCTTTTTCAAATGTTAAATTATTATTGTAGCATCTAATTCAGATGCTAATCTAGTCTTACTTTGTGTGTTATTATTAGAACCAAAGGAATTCATATAAAATTATTAAAATATGGTGAAGAAAATTTGTAATAGTCAATAGGAATTAGCTAATATTATGATCAGTATACACATATTTATTAATTATTTACCAGTCACTGTGCTAATGATTACCTGGGCAATTAAAAAAAAATTTAAGCATGATCTTTACCAAAATAACCTACAAAACTTGAGTGTTAGCTGTATATGTAACTTAAGTTTGTTACTTAAAAGTACAATGTAGTGTCATAAATACAAAATAAGCAAGATAGGTCATTAATAGTTCCAAATTTCTTCAGAATAGTGATTGTACATGTTTTATCTTTCCATGGAATAAAAAGTAAATACTATTTTTAAAATAATACCACCATTAAATGTGTTGTTAATAACATTGGGTTTTTGCCGTTAAAAGTAATTGAGAGTAATGGCAAAAACCGCAATCACTTTTGTACCGAATGTATTGATTATCTTCTTCCTTCTTGATTGTGTATTATTGTGAAGGGGTAGCATGGAAAAGAAGTAGCAATAAGCCAAAAAAAAAAGGAAATTCACCTAAACATTTCTGTGCACCTAGGTAACCCTAACTTACAAATACCTTTTCCATACAAATGTTTACTCCAGCCATTTGTACGGAAGGGCCACTTGGCCCCTAACCAGTATGTTTCCAGGGATTTTCTCTGTTCTCTTAGCAGCTTGGTAAAAAGCTCTGCCTTCTATACCTCATAAATGTCTATTTTCCTTACGCTGATGGACAACCATAGGATTCTATGATGACACAACAGTCATACATACTTTTTAAAAATACTTCATCAGCTCCCCAATACTTTGTTTTCTGTAGTTACAGTCATCTTCCTTTACCACTCTTCAGCTTCCTTGTCATTAGAGCTGTTTGTATCTTACCAAAAAAATCAATTCTATCTTGCATCCTAGCTACTATCTCCTTATTCTTCCTACATACAGACTCTACGCTTCCTGTAATGATTTCTTTTTCTGCCAGTCTCTTTCCTTATTGCTCTTAAACATTCTTTCTACTGTGTTTCAATTTCCCCTGGAGCTCTTTTATACTGATTCATCATTAGAAACTTAGAGGGGTGGGACCGGGTGTGGTTGCTCATGCCTGTGATCCCAGCACTTTGGGAAGCCAAGGTGGGTGGATTACCTGAGGTCAGAGATTCGAGATCAGCCTGGCCAACATGGTAAAACCCTGTCTCTACTAAAAATACAAAAATTAGCCGGGTGTGGTGGCGGGCGCCTGTAATCCCAGCTACCTGGGAGGCTGCAGCAGGAGAATCGCTTGAACCCAGGAAGTGGAGGTTACAGTGAGCCGAGATTGCGCCAGTGCACTCCAGCCTGGGCGACAGAGCGAGACTCCGTCTCAAAAAAAAAAAAAAAAAAAAAGAAAGAAGGAAACTTAGAGGGGTGGGAGTCTTCTACCTTTCTATTGAAGTAAGAAGAGAAATATCATAATTACAAGTTAAAATCTTGAAAGCATTTGTCTCATGGAAATAACTTCCTAAATAATATTTATATTCTGTAGTACTGTTTATAAGTTAAATAAACTTTTGTGTACTTGTAACATTATTTCTTTGATGTATTTCCAGTTCCAAATAACTGACTGAAAAATGATCTTTTAGAACACATTTTTTAATGAGATGCAGTAACAGCCTGTTTTCCATATTAGCAGAGTACCATCTTTTGAGACTATATCTTATCTGTAATTTCTCAAACTACTATCAGACATCAAAATTTGCAAAATACTATTTTGATACTTTAAGCAAATAAGCTTATCTAGTATGTTTTAATTTGAATTTTGATCCTGAATCTAAAGAGAACATAGAGACTGTTCATAAATAATCTGTATGCTTAGCTAGAAGTACAGGGAACTTTAGAGTCCTATAAGACATTTTAAAGAATGTTTTCTCTAACATGTCATGAAAAATTTGAAACATACATAAAAATTGAAAAAACTATACAGTGAGCACCCATATACTTCCACCTAGATTTTACTGTGTTTGCTGTAGTATGTATCTGTCCATCTGTCCATCCCCCTGGGCATTCATCAGTCCATCTATGTTATTCTAATATATCTCAAAGGAAGTTGCAGACGTAGTCCTCTTCACTCCTGAACACTGCAGCATGCAAATTATTAACAGAATGAGATGTTTGTTTATGGTCCTGATTTGTTTTCGGGGGGAGAGATTTGAGGTAAATTTATGTAGAGTGAAATGCACACATCATTAGTCTACTGTTTGATGCATTTTGACAAATGCTTACACCTTTGTAATTCAAACCCTTTTCAATGTATAGAACATTATCATTGCCCTAGAAAGTTCTCTTATACTCTTTCCTAGTCAGTTTTTGACTCAGTACTCCCAAGGAGGAACACCATTATTTTTGTGGCTTAGTTTTGCCTATTCTGAAACTTAATATTAGTGGAATCATACTGATACAAAGGCTTTTTTGTAAGACTTCTTTCACTTGACATAATGATTTTGATACTCATTTATGTTATTGTATGTATCAGTAATGTGTTCCCCTTTTTTACTAAGTAATATGCAATGAATATTTCAGTTTTTGTTGGGTTTTGTTTTTTTTTTTGCCCTTCTCCTGTTACGGAACATTTGACCTGTTTCTAGATTTGACTATTCAAAGCCCCTTTATCAAAGATAAAGCTTCTTTGAGCAATTTTATACAAGCTTTTTTTGTGGACATGAGTTTTTATTTCTCTTGAGTAAATACCTAAATGGAATTGCCAGGTCTGAGAGTGGATGTATGTTTGTGTCCATGAGAAACTGGCAGACTTTTTCCCAAAATACTTACACTGTTTTATACTCCCATCGTCAGTGTATGTGAGTCCCAGTTGTTCTGCATCCTTGTCAGTATTTGGTGTTGTAAGTCTTTAATTTTAGCCATTCTAGTAGGTATATTTTGGTTTCTTGTTATTAATATAGTTTGCATTTCCCCAATGACTAATGATATTGAGCATTTTGCATGTGTTTATTGGCTATTCATACATCTTTTGTGACATGATTTTAATGTTTAAAATTGTTCAACTTAGTTCTGTAACTTAAAAATTTTGAATCATATAATTTATTTGAAGTCTATTGCTTATTGTGCATTCAATATATTTTAGAATTGAACTTCTAAATAATAAATGCCAAGTAGAGTTTTTCACTTTAACGTGAGGAGCATAAAAGAGGGGAGACAGACCATTGTCTTATTTTCTCCCATGTTCTTACTCCCAGAGAAGCGTTCATCAGGCAGGCAGACTCATGAACTTTTTGGATATGAAACAGATACTGAAGATGGAATTTAAGTGATGAAATTACTGGTAATCTCTAATCAGTAGAGAAATACGGAGTATGCTTCAAATATATTTCAGTTATATAATAGCTCTTATGATGACCAAATAGTATCATAGATAATCATATAATTTTGCCTGGAAAAATATAACAGATTTTATATTATACCTTGCTATCGAAATTTTTTTGAAATTCATGTCAGTGATTTTTTTTTCTTTATATCCTCTTTAGGTATTATTAATTTATGTAAACCTGGAAACTCTGGGATCCAGTCTCTAATAGGAGTACTTTGCATACCAAATATGGAAATAAGGGTAGGTAAAAGTTACTAGGATTGTTTCATTCCTGGACCTTTAACAGTGGGAATTAATTATAAAACAAAAATTATTTCAGGTGATGCTATTTCCTCATTAGTCGTTGATCTATATCATATTTTTAAAGTACACAAGTACATATTTACTACTTAGTTAAACCCTAAATATAATAGGAATCATTTAAAATATTGCTGTTGTTAGGAATAATGGCTGTATTAAAAATTGAGTCGAGACCGGACATGGTGGCTAACACCTGTAGTCCCAGCACTTTGGGAGGCTAAGGCATGTGGATCACCTGAGGTCAGGAGTTCTAGACCAGCCTCCTCAATATGGTGAAACTCCATCTCTACTAAAAATACAAAAAATTAGCCAGGCACCTGTAATCCCAGCTACTCAGGTGGTAGGTGCCTGTAATCCCAGCTACTCAGGAGGCTGAGGAAGGAGAATCGCTTAAACCTGGGAGGTGGAGGTTGCAGTGAGCCAAGATCGCAGCATTGCACTCCATTCTGGGCAACAAGAGCGAAACTCCATCTCAAAAAAACAAAAGTTGAGTTGAAAATATGAACTTAATTTTGCTTTATTCATTAAAACAATGTAAACAACACACACGGGCATTCTCACTATAAAAGGTTCAAGCGCTACAGACTACATTTAACAAAAAGTAAATGTATTTATGCTTTCTAACTTATGTTTTGTAATATGTGGTGAGATTTTATTTTAATGATGGTGGTTTTGATTAAAATGGAGTTGTTAATATTTCTATATTTATTAGATATATTTCTAAATTATTTGTAAGAATTTGTAATATACAGTAAAATTGAATTTGAAGGAAAAGATAATTCTTAAAGTGATTTTTTTCCTTTCTCCTTAAATGTTTTTATTTGTTTTAATTTTGTTTCTTCCTTTTGCCCTTCCTTATATGAACCAAACCTGGAGCTGAAAAATATTATTAGAAAATATTAGCCAGGTGTGCCTTGTTTAAATGTGAAATAAAAAGTATTTAGATAATGGAAATGAAAGGATATGATTATAAATGGAAAGATTTGTAAGCAGGTAACAAACTGTTGAGGTAACTCACTTCTTACCCTGTAGGTGGATAAAGAACATGGTCTTTGGAGAGTCTGACCAACTGAGGTTTAACCTCTGGTTTTATTTATTTTTTTGTTAGCTCCATGACCTTGGGAAAATTGCTTTTTTGCACAATTAGGTTAATGAAAAATTTAATGACTAGATTAAGTGGTGTATGTCGTAGTAAGCATTTAGTCATCCCTTCTCTAATATAGGCCTTATACAGTTTCAAAATATGGTATAGTCATGCATTGGTTAATGATAGGAATATGTTCTAAGAAACTCACTGTTAGATGATTTCATCCTGTGAACATCCTAGAGTACACTTACACAGACCTCGATGGTATAGTCTACTACATACCTAGGTTATGTGGTATAGCCTATTGCTTGTAAGCTGCAAACCTGTATAGCATGTTACTGTACTGAGTACTGTAGGCAGTTGTAACACAATGGAATTCGGGTATCTAAACATAGAAAAGGTACAATAAAAATACAGTATAAAAAATTAAAAATACTGGCCAGGCACAGTGGCTCATGCCTGTAATCCTGCACTTTGGGAGGCCGAGGCGGGTGGATCATGAGGTCAGGAGATCGAGACCATCCTGGCTAACACGGTGAAACCCTGTCTCTACTAAAAATACAAGAAACTTAGCCGGGCGGGGTGGCGGGCACCTGTAGTCCCAGCTACTTGGGAGGCTGAGGCAGAATGGCATGAACCCAGGAGGCGGAGCTTGCAGTGAGCCGAGATCGCGCCACTGCACTTCAACCTGGGCCACAGAGCACAGCACTTATATAGGGTACTTACAGTGCATGGAGCTTACGGGACTAATAGTAGCTCTGGATGAGTCAATGCATGAGAAGTGAGTGAATATTAAGACCTAGGACATGACCGTACACTACTATAGACTTTACAGACTTGTACACTTAGGCTACATTTATTTTACTAAAATTTCTTTTCTTCAAAAATAACTTTAGCTTACTGTAACCTTTTTACTTTATAACTTTCAAATTTTTTAAACTTTTGACTTTTTTGCAATAATATTTACCTTAAAACACACATTGTGTAGGTGTACAAATTTTTTTTTGGTTTTAATATCCTTATTCTGTAAGATTTTTGTTTTTTAATTTTTTTTCTTTTTAAACTTTTTTGTTAAAAACAAAAACACAAGCCAGGCGCAGTGCCTCACAACTGTAATCCCAGCACTTTGGGACGCCAAGGCAGGCAGATCACCTGAGATCAGGAGTTCGAGACCAGCATGGTCAACGTGATGAAACCCCATCACTACTAAAAATACAAAAATTAGCCAGGCGTGGTGGCAGGTGCCTGTAATCCCAGCTACTCGGGAGGCTGCAGCAGGAGAATCGCTTGAATCCGGGAGGCGGAGGTTGCAGTGAGCCGAGATCGCGCCACTGCACTCCAGCCTGGGAGACAAGAGTGAGACTTTGTCTCAAAAAAAAAAAACCAAAAAAACCACACACACACACGCGCACACACTAGCCTAGGATAATCAGTATCACTGTCTTCCACCTCCATACCTTGTCCCACTGGAATGTCTCCAGGGGCAGTATACATGAACGAAGCTGTCATCCTCTGTGATAACCATGTCTTGGTATGGAATACCTGCCTGAGGCTGTTTTACAGTTAATCTTTTTTTTCTTTTTTTTTTTTTTAAGAGACAGTGTCTTGCTCTGTCACCCAGGCTAGAGTGCAGTGGAATGATCATAGCTCACTGCATCCTCAAACTTCTCAAATCAAGTGATCCTCTTGCCCCAGCCTCCCGAGTAGCTAGGACTACAGGAACGTGCCACCACACCCAGTGAATTTTTAAATTTTTTGTAGAGATGGCGTTTCACTATTTTCCTACTCTCAAAATTCTGGCCTCCAGCAATCCTCCCACCTTGGCTTCCCGAAGTGCTTTTTTGTTTTTTTTTTATAGTATAGGAGTACACTCTAAGATAATGATAAAAGGTATAGTAAATAGGTAAACCAGTAACACAGTCATTTATTATCAAATATTATGTAATTGTACATAATTCTATATATAATACTTTTAAACAACTGGCAGTGCAGTGAGTTTGTTTACTTCAGCATCACCACAAACAGTTGAGTAATATTGCCCTGTGACAGACAATATGACTGCTACAGTTTCACTAGGCAATAGGTATTTATCAGCTTCATCATAATCTTAGGGAACCACCATTGTATATATGGTCCATCATTGACTCAAATGTTGTTATATGGCATGTCATTGTATTAACAGTTCTGTTTTTATCATTTTTAAAATTGTGTGACTAGGACATTTAAAAATTTTGAAGCGTTTCATAAAAATAAATGAGGTGTATTTGTTTGCTAATTTAGCGAGGTCTACTTGAAGTGCTTTATGATATCTTTCGTCTTCCTCTGCCTGTTGTGACTGAGGAGTTCATAGAAGCATTACTCAGTGTAGGTAAGTATTGAAGTACATTTGTATCTTTTCATATATTGTAATTTTTATTTAATGGAGACAAAGTTCCTAAAAGGAGAAATAGTAAATATTGAACACCATTTTCTTTTCTTGCTGCATAATTGTGGCAGGAAATTAATATAAAAATAAAACCTGGAATTCCTAAGACCGAGAAATTTTAATTTCTTCTTTATCACTTTGGCTCTTAGAGCAATTAAATTAATAGGAATGGGCCAACAAAGGAAGAGAGGAGACAGTAAGAAACCTATGTAATCCTCAGATTATCTAATTCTCATCTTACATTATTTGAGCCAAATGACTTAAGGTACCGAAGTCCCAAAATGAAGGAAATTAGATCTGCGTATATTTACTTAACTAGTTTTTGTTTTTATCTTTTTGAATGTATGGTATTTAACCAGCACTTTTTAAACTTCTTTGTAGCCTGGCTAGCTGATGATTTTATACTCATCTGAAATGTTTCAGTGATATCTAATCTTTTCCTTACCATATTTTAACTATTTTAGATCCTGGGAGGTTCCAAGACAGTTGGAGGCTTTCAGATGGCTTTGTGGCAGCTGAGGCAAAAACTATTCTTCCTCATCGTGCCAGATCCAGGTAGAATTTAAATATAAAAAGGATTTCAATTTATTAGAATTAGGGTTTTTATGTTAGACTGTATAATCTGTGAAACTTTATTTAAATTGTTTCTCTGCTGTTTTTTTCCAGGCCAGACCTCATGGATAATTATTTGGCATTGATACTCTCTGCATTTATTCGTAATGGACTTTTAGAGGTAAGACTTATAAACCTTATTTTATTCCATTTGGTTTATTTTCTCTAACAGATTCTTTCAGGCCAGCCATGGTGGCTCACGTCTGTAATCCCAACACTTGGAGACGCCAAGGCAGGTGGATCGCTTGAGGCCAGGAATTCGAGACCAGCCTGACCAGCATGGTGAAATTCTGTCTTAACTAAAAATACAAAGATTATCCACGCATGGTGGCACACCCCTGTAATCCCAGCTACTCGGGAGACTGAGGAATGAGAATTGCTTGAACCCAGGAGGCAGAGGTTATACTGAGCCGAGATCTTGCCATTGCACTCCAGCCTGGGCAACAGAGCAAGACTCCTGTCTCACAAAAAAAAAAAAAAAATTTGCAGATTGAAAAATAAATCTGATGCATAAATGTTTTCATATGTATTATTTTGCAACAGTGATGTTATCTTTTTATTTTCAAAGGGCCTAGTTGAAGTGATAACAAACAGTGATGATCATATCTCAGTTAGAGCTACCATCCTTTTAGGAGAGCTGTTACATATGGTAAGTTTAGCAACTTCTGATTATATGTTTCATACCTTTAATGTTTGAATTTATAAAACGGGTTATTTTAATAGTGTTGCTTTGTATTATCTCAAAAAAATAAATTTGCATTTTTTATAAATGTTTATCTTTGCATTACAAAAAGCGTTTGGTACTATATCCTGAGATAGATACATATGTGCACGCGTGCACATGCACACACACACATATTTCTATTGGTTTTGTAAATGGAATAAGTATACAACATGCAAAGTACTGAAATGTTGATTTTTACACTCAGTTTCAAAGTTGCCATTTTCATCCTGTAAATCTTAATTGATCTCAGAAAGACTTCCTAAGAAGCAAGAAACTGCAAAACTATGGATACTACTTCAGTCTGCTAAGAATGTACTTGATATGTGGTAGTCAGTGCCTGAATTTTAGAAAGCTTTGTGCAGAAGCTTTAAATATAGTCTTGGTTGAGCATTATAGTCTTTTCTAGAAACTTGTAGTTTGAGGTTCAGAAGATGGGTTGTTTTTTTTTCTTTTCACCATGATTTTGTGATTACAGTAACTTTTGGAAAGTAGGAGCTAGGAAAGACTTGACAATTCTTTACTCTCAGCAAATCAATCGATGAGAGATCCCTGATAGTTTGCAAGGTAGGAATTTATATTTTTAGATTACTTACTAGTTAGTAAAATACAAAATAAAAAGAACCATTTAAAACTCATTGAGGAAAAATTGATTCTATGGCAAATCTTTTGAAATTATGTCACAGTTTGCTATTTTGAGCAGATGTTTTTTGTTTAGGTTTTTCTTTCTTGATCTCTTCCCCTCCTCCCCACCCTTTTTCCCCTTTCATAGGAACTGGGCTATGTGAGTGAGGTAAAGAGCATTAAGTAGAATTTAATTTAACTGTCTTTTTTTAAATAAGTGAATTATTTAGCTGCTTGCTCTGTTCTTTTTTGGCCCATCTGTGAAAAAATTATGTAGTGTCAGAGGCTTTCAGGTCTGATTATTTGTCTTTTAATTCTTAAGATATCATTTCCTATTCAAGAATACCAATACTCAGAGTTATTTGCATTTATATGAAGGAATCTCTACATTTTATCTTTTTCCCTTGTCCCATACCGAGAATTCTGTAATTCTCTTGAAATAAAAGAGTTGGTTATTTTGCTTATTATTCTTAAATTTTCTGTCTTCCACATTTGATTGATGTACTTGTCTTCATTGATAGCTGGTTGGATGGTGAGGTTTTTGTTTGGAAAGTAGAATTAATATTCCTTATTTTAAAGATTATGGCATATGGGACAAACCTATTTTGTGATAGTAGTTTTTAAAACTTAAAGTCAACTCACAAATTTGGATATGGCATCTAGCATTTGACATGTTATTTTAAACATAACTTAGGTTGAGTCCTGTAATGTTTTGACATATAATCCCTTCTGGTCATTTAAGAATTGAGTTTAATTGGGTATCACTTGAAAACCATATTATTATAATAAAGAATCGATGAAACTTAATGGTTATGTTAATATAATATGTGTATCTTTATATTTCATCCATGTTGAAAGTATTGTAGATAGGATAGAAATATAAATAAGCATGTATTGGGGAAAATAAGAATTTTATGAATAAAACCTCAGAATTTGTAATAGTCTTGAATACAGCATTATATGTGCAGATAATCTATAACAAACTATTTCTACTTCTGAAAACTCATGTAAAATGTTATACTTCATTTTAGGCAAACACAATTCTTCCTCATTCACATAGCCATCATTTGCACTGCTTGCCAACCCTAATGAATATGGCTGCATCCTTTGATATTCCCAAGGAAAAGAGACTGTAAGTTATCAGAGCTTTAGCAGAGTTTTTGTTTAATATATTTAATATTGAATTAGATTATTGTCTCTTTAAAAAAAAATAGTATGGATAGGTTATGCTGGGAAATTCTTTTAAGGAATTTGCTAAAGAAAAAACAGTTCTAAAAATATTTAATTTGTTTTTTAGGCTACAAAATACTAATAGTGTAATAAAATCACTTTTTTTCTAGCATGTTTGTAGACAAGGACATAGAATTGTTATCATATTACTAAAAATGTTAGCTAAGAGTTTTTTGGACTCCTTTACGTCGTGAGCAGCAATTCTGGCTCTTTTTTTTTATGTCTATGAACTATTTCAAATTAAAGCTTTACAATATTAATATATTCTTTTATTTGCATGGTTAAAAATGTTGGAATTTAGTAACAAGTACTACTGGGCCACATAGCAGTAAGCTGAACTCTTACTACTGAAGGAGATATTGCAAACATAGAATTTACAAACAAAATTATGGTAATACAACTATAGCTCTGCTGGAATTCCAGTGCTAATAATAAAACATATATAAAAGGCAATGATGGAAGGGCTCAATTGGGAAGTGCTAGGAGGAACTTAGTTTTACTTGGCAGAGATTATATCTAGGCTAGGAATGTCTTTTTGTGGTCGTTATCTTTTTTATTTTGTTATTATGATCAGAAACATATTTTTTTGTTTTTTTGCTTGATGTTAGCGATTGGAGTTTTTTAGCTATTCAAAATTTATGTATTTTTGTTAAGAGTTATAGTACATTTTTGAAAAGTTTACTTAGCTTTAATAATAAAGTACACTGAATAATCTATTAATTTTCATTCTGCCATTGGAAATACTGTTTAACAGACCAGAGTTGTCCTATAAACTGAGGGCATTAGGAGTCATCTCAGTTCTGTCTCTAGGCTTATATCAGTAATAGTAGCTTTTAGCTTTTATATTAGTAGTTTCATGATGGAAGAATGTACTTTCCCAATACCTGATAGACCTAAACTCTGGGTTAGATTATGGCCACAAACTCCAGGGTTCATCAGTAATTCAGATTTATCTCCAGAATTCCAGTAAGAATAGTCATCTTAAAATAGTTTTATCTTTAGCTCAATAAGCTTTCTTTATTAATAAATACTTGCCAGTCAGCACATCCCAATGTTTAAAAATTCTACTTACTAGAAATTCTGAAGGTGAGAGTTGCTACCATATTCTTCAAAATGGCACTTTTATGTACCACAAAGAATTAAATATAGTTTATAAAAATACACCATTTACAATTACAGACCAATGGTGGAAAATAGAGACTGTTCAGTTGATACTGGGATCATTGATTATCCATATGGGAGTACAGTGAAATTATTTCAACCTCATATCATAAACAAAAATAAGTTTCAGGTGGATTAAGGATTTATATGTGAAAAGCAAAGCTTTAAAAAAAACTTTGATAAGAAAATATAGAAAACCAGGTTTCTGACCTTGTAGGAGTTCCTAAAACCAATATACAAAAAATACCTACCACCATAGAAGAAAAGTATAGTAAGTACATGTTCAATTGAGTCTAAATAATCAGTGTGTCTTTATATAAATCAGTAGTGTTGTTTATTTTTTGTCTTTGTCTCTCCAAATTTGATGAAATAATTTACTTTATCAATAATAATTTCTAGCCTTGAACTTACGTAAGCTTTAGTAATTTACCAAGGTAATCTTTTAAATTATGTTGGTCTTGCCACTGTATTCATTGAATTGTTTTTCTCATTAGGCGAGCCAGTGCAGCCTTGAACTGTTTAAAACGCTTCCATGAAATGAAGAAACGAGGACCTAAGCCTTATAGTCTTCATTTAGACCACATTATTCAGAAAGCAATTGCAACACACCAGAAACGGGATCAGTATCTCCGAGTTCAGAAAGATATATTTGTTCTTAAGGTGCTGACATGAAATCATGATTTTCAGCTTAAACACAACATCTTAATTCCTTAACCATTGGATTTTAGTATCCATGTATTTGAGTTTGCACTTTTCTTCATGCATATGAATTTTCAGATGGCTTCTGAGTTTTATAATTTAGAGATGAGTTTTTATAACTTTAAAGTTAAAAAAAAACCTTGATGTATCCTTAAATGGAAAAACTGCCTTTCAGTTTTTCAAATTTGAACTTAGTTTTCTGATATGAGGACGGTTTGCCTTAATTTTTCTTATTACTTTCTGATGATTTTAGGATACAGAGGAAGCTCTTTTAATTAACCTTAGGGACAGCCAAGTTCTTCAACATAAAGAGAATCTTGAATGGAATTGGAATCTTATAGGGACCATTCTTAAGGTATGAAAAGATACTTCATGGCAATGGCTTGTCTTTAATTTTATTATTAATTATAACATAATTACATGTTTGAGAATTGATAAGTACATATGTAATATAACATATTATGTTTTTCTAGTGGCCAAATGTAAATCTAAGAAACTATAAAGACGAACAGTTACACAGGTATGTAAGAACTATTTTGCATTTAAATTTAAAGAACTTAAATATGGATATTAGGCCTAATGCCTGCTAAAATATGTAATAATTTTAAAGACATATACATACATTTTAACAATGTCTCTTCAGTAGATACATTCATATATTTTTTAATATAGTCTTATTTTATAACCAAAACATATTAGCAAATTCTTTTTCTAGTTGTTTACATTCTGCTTTTAGTTTTGGAATAGATAAAGTAGTTGAGATAAAAGTTTTTCGAATTGGGGTAATATCAACTGTGTAGTGGGTCTTAGCCCTAACATATAAGGATGATATAATAAGGACTTATATTTTTGATATACAGCTTTTATTCCTGTTTGACTTTGGAGTTATCCATTATAACTGCTGTTTACTTTCTCCTTAACTACACCTTCCATAACTCGTGCAGATGTTTGTAGCGTGAAGAGCACTTGAAGCTACTATGCTGTTCTTCATTATGCCCGTATGTTTTTACTCCTGAGTTTAGACTAACCAGCTATTACTACTGATCTCAGAAAGAGGTCCTTAGTATGTTCAAGAAATTCATGTCATTAACATTATTATTTGATTGCATTCTCTATTCATGATATGTAACCTAATATCTATAAAAGTTTTAAGAAATATAGATAACTTGTAAATTGCACTGAAATAAAAAAGCATAGTACTAACTTTTTATATTCCTTGAGAACACAGATGATGTCTTACTCAACTTTGTTTTCCCAGCTCCTGGATTGGACACCTCTATTGGATTGAATTGTAGTGCACTACATTGAACTGAACTAAATTCAATAGAAGCTTAGAACATAATGTTGAAAGATATAATGTTAAAAGATCATAAATTATGTTTATAAATTCATTGGCCTAAATTGCAACTTTTGTGCTTGACCTTTTGCCTAATTGTGAAAAACCAACAATATCATAGTGTAGTATCTTACAATTATCTTAACAATAGGACATTTTTGAGCCATGGGACAAAGTTCTTCATGAATACAATAGAAGAAAATTGAAGTTCAGGTGACATCCTCATTTATCCAGTTTTATATTCTAGCTACATTAAATCTTCATTCATCCGGCCAGCATCTTTCTTCTACTTTATTTCTTCTGACCATCTCACCATAAAATTCTTACTCCACAGAGATATTTTTTAAAATGAAAGTTTTTTTGTTTGTTTGGTTTTTGGGTTTTTTTTTTTTTTGGTATGAAATGCTGCTATAAATAACGCCTGAGACTGGATAATTTCTATAAAGGAAAGAGATTTAATTGACTCACAATTCCACATGGCTAGGGAGGCCTCAGGAAACATAATTGTAGCAGAAGGGGAAGCAAACATATCCTTCTTCATATGGCAGCAGGAGAGGGAAGTACAGAGCATAGGGGGAAAAGCTGCTGATGAAACCATCAGATGTGAGAACTCACTCACTGTCACGAGAACAGCTTGAGGGTAACCGCCCCTATAATCTTATCTCCTCTCATGAGGTCCCTTTCATGACATGTGGGGATTATGGGAACTACAGTTCAAGGTGAGATTTGGGTGGGGGCACAGCCAAATCATATCATGTACCAAACACTTTTAATACATCTCTTGCCATTTATCCCAATGGGTCAGACCCAAAACATATTCTGAAAGCCTTATTATGTCATGAGCAAAGGTTAAGATTCTAAAATAATTGCTTCATTTCTTACCTTGTTGCTACTTGTGTTTTGATTTTAGGTTTGTACGAAGACTACTTTATTTTTACAAGCCCAGCAGTAAATTATATGCCAACCTGGATCTGGATTTTGCCAAGGCCAAACAGCTCACAGTTGTAGGTTGCCAGTTTACAGAATTTCTTCTTGAATCTGAAGAGGTGAGCATTCTGAATATTTTCCAGAGCAAATGTTTTCTATTGAATTTGCTTCCCTTCCCCTCCCTCTGTTTCCACCTTCTGTTTTGCTTTCATTTCTGAATATGCATAAGCTGTATTTGGAAGCGTAGGAAATGATCCCAGACCTAGAGTTGAATCCGGACTTAGTCACTAGTTGTGAGACTGGGCAAGTTATCTGCCCTCTGGAAGACCTGGTTTACTCTTCCGTAAAATGGAGAATAATATCATCTCCATGCAGCATTGTGTTGAAGCAGATTAAAAAACAGCAGGTACTCACTGATTGATAGCTGCTATTGGTAACTTCATCATTATTAAGTTTTTGTACTTGATTTAAGTCGATTTTCTAATTACAGATTTTGAATGCTTTTCTCACAGTATCACAATGTATTTACTTTTAGGATGGGCAAGGTTACTTAGAAGATCTAGTAAAGGATATTGTTCAGTGGCTCAATGCTTCCTCTGGAATGAAACCTGAAAGAAGTCTTCAAAATAATGGTTTATTGACCACCCTTAGTCAACACTACTTTTTATTTATTGGAACACTTTCTTGCCACCCTCATGGAGTTAAAATGCTGGAAAAATGCAGTGTATTTCAATGGTGAGCGTTCCTAAATTTTGTTGCAATATATACATAAACTTTATTTTTAATGTAGTTAGATATGGTATGCTTTTTAGTCTGTGTACATGTGTTTGGTTAAGTTTTGTTTTAAATTAGCATTATCTTTGCTTTAATATTCTTTTTTACATGATACTTGTTATTAAATGCTTTCTTTCCAAAAAGCTTGTTTATATTAGGAATTTTTAAAATATACATTGAACTGTCTTTATGCTCTTAACACTCCAGCATTCAAAATAGTAATTATGTGTGATGATTGATATGTTCATTGTGGTAATTTTCACAATGTATATGTATATCAAATCAAGTTGTACACCTTGAATAATACAATTTTTATTTGTCATTTATACTTCAGTAAAGCTGGAAAAAATATTTGTTGAATGCATCAATATAGTAATTTCTTTTAACCTTTCTTCTTATTTTTTTTTAAGTCTCCTTAATCTTTGCTCCTTGAAAAACCAAGATCACTTGCTAAAACTTACTGTTTCCAGCTTGGACTATAGCAGAGATGGATTGGCTAGAGTCATCCTTTCCAAAATTTTAACTGCAGCTACTGATGTGAGTATAATATAGCCAGTAAAACTATTTCTATAAACAATTAATTTGCTACTTTATGAATTTTGGGCTAAGTAAAATTAATTTTAAATTCTAAGAATATGATATGGAAATTGAGTTTACTTTAAAATTTTAGTTTCTCCAAGGAACTCCATATAGTACTCATATTTTTATATCACAGAGAAGCTGCTAGATAGAAAGGGAAGTATTTTATTTTACAAGAACCACAAAAGTATTCATATCAAGGGCTAGACCACCAATTCCAGTCATTCTTCCCTTTTCAAGTAGCAGGACTCTCCCAAAATAAAATCAAATAGGTTATTTATGGTGAAGGATTTTTTTTTTTTTAAATGTATTCATTTATCTTTATAGGCCTGCAGGCTCTATGCAACAAAACATTTAAGGGTATTATTGAGAGCTAATGTTGAATTCTTTAATAATTGGGGAATTGAGTTGTTAGTGACCCAGCTACATGATAAAAACAAAACGATTTCTTCTGAAGCTCTTGATATCCTCGATGAAGCATGTGAAGACAAGGTAAATGTTCATTTTTTATAATTTAATACTTAAATTTTTTTGAAATACTCATTTGACAGTTTTGTAAAAGTATATAATAGGCATTTTGGAACTAAAAAATTTTCTATTTTTGTGCAATTATTAAAAATAATGATAATCTCTTTTAGGCCAATCTTCATGCTCTCATTCAGATGAAACCAGCTTTATCCCACCTTGGAGACAAGGGTTTGCTTCTCCTCCTGAGGTAAATTTTAAGTAAATTTTCAGTTATGTTTTTTTGTTGTGTTCTTTGGCAGTGTATATTAAAGATAAATTCAAATCCAAATAGGAAGTACCCTAAAGAGTTTACCTTTTAACATCTGAAATAAACCTATTTTAGACCTTGTACATCCTTTAATATTGAAACATTGTCTTTTCATTGTTTTGGGTTTTTTTGTTTTGTTTTGTTTTGTTTTTTTAATTGGTCTGTTCGTACTTTTCATGACATTTTCCTTTTTTTTTTGAGACAGAGCCTCACTTTGTCATTCAGGCTAGAGTGCAATGGTCCAATCTTGGCTCAATGCAACATTTACTGCCTCCCAAGTTCAAGTGATTCTCCTGCCTCAGCCTCCTGAGTAACTGGGACTAAAGGCTCACGCCACCACACCCAGCTGATTTCTTGTATTTTTAGTAGAGACAGAGTTTCACCATGTTGGCCAGGCTGGTCTCAAACTCTTGACCTCAGGTGATCCACTCACCTTGGCCTCCCACAGTGCTGGAATTACAGGCCTGAGCCACCGTGCCTGGCTGACATTTTCTTTATTGTGATTGGGTTCTTGTGTTGTTGCAAAGATTGTGAAAATTTATTTGTAATTGAAGTTATAATAAATTATAGTTGACCTTTTAGTTTTATGAAGAAACTGTTCCTATAGTCTTTTAGCTCCTTATACTTTTTAAAATTTTAATTATTTTAGCTTCTTAAGACACTTTTTTTGCCAGACTCAATGTTAAAACTATTGCTTGTTTTAATTTGCAGATTTCTCTCCATTCCAAAGGGGTTTTCCTATCTGAATGAAAGAGGTTATGTAGCAAAACAATTGGAAAAGTGGCACAAGGTAACTTCTTATTTGAATAAGGTTGAATTTGTGTGTTTTTATCTTCTGAAATTGATTCGTGAATTTAGAAGGATGATTTTTTATATCACTGTTTTGAAATTAATAAGGTTAAATATTTAAACATCCATATCAAGTTATCAAGTTGAGTCCTAAATTCTGCATAAGTGCTAGTATTTATAGTTATACATTTTTTTAAACTACAGTTATTTATTTTATTCTGAACTGTTGACTGCATTCATTCTATTGAAATTTGACTTTCAACTCATTTGATTTTATAATCTAATTTGTTGGCCCTATTTATCATTTCTTTCATTTTTGGGTCCCTTAATATAACCTACAACTTTGCTAGTGCCCTTTTAAGCTAAAATTAAAATAATTTTTTTAAATGAAGGGAGATTGAAATACCAAGGAGATATAATCATTTAATTAAATTTTATTTTAGGATACTACTTTACCTAAATCTGAGAATGAACTTCTTGCTGTCATAGGGAAACCTGATAAGAAGGGAGTAGTTTGAAGATATGAAACAACTTTTCTAGCTTTTCTTTAGCTGGTGATTGCTGTGGCTTCATTATTTTGTTTGAAGTATTATAAGTCATCAAAGCATCTTAGAAACCCATGGTCAGAATGATCTTTACCAATATAAATGATTTTTAGATTTTTCATCATTTCAGATCAGTTATCCTATTTTCTCTTTTTTGTTAACATAGTTACAGATTCTTTTATAGTGTCTGTATTGAACCATATTTCATAAGAGATACTCCTAAATGGACTAAAACTTTGAAGCATACAACTTAAGGCATGAAGTCTTTTAGTATTTGATGAATTATAGAACTGAGACAAGGTGTGATAGGTTTGTTTCCTAGAAGATATTTAAATCATCATAATAAAATTTATTATACAAATCATAGCAGTAGAAAATTGCTTAGAATATTGGTGCAGTGCTTACAAATAGTAAGCATAAAGTATTTAAGAGCTATAACAAACTCATATGCAAGGTATAAGGGGGGAACACAGAGGAGAGATTAATGATTGAGCTTTAGGGATTATCAAAAGAAATGTTGGATAGGCGCAGTAGATGTGATACTTGAAATGGTCTTGAGGAGTAAATAGGCAAATAAATTACAAGAAGGGTATCCACGGAAGGAGCAGAATAAAGCTGTATAGATTATTGGAACATTATAGACTTATGAAGAAAGTCATATTCCAATGTAGTTGGAACTAAGATAAGTGTGGAGTGGCAAGATGAGGCTGGTGGAATGGTAAATTAAAGCTGGATTGTAAAAGGCCTCTTAAGCCATATTATATCATCCTAAGGGATTTCAATTGTATATGTAGTGGGGAATCCTTAACAGCTTTTAAGGAGTTATGAGTTGCACTTTAGTAATCTGACAGGTTGCAGTGGAGAGGCGGAATTTTGATCATTGAAGGGAAAGTCTAGGAATATTGACACGAGTTTAGAAACAAGAATTGATGAGTGCCTGAACTTCACTGGTAGTTAGGTTGAATAGATAAGGACACATTTTCTGGGCATTTTCAAAATAAGATGGACAGAATTTATGGGCTGATTGAATACAGTAAATAAGAGGTCCAACTTGGCTCATAAGATTTCTAATTTAATGAGTGAATATATAATGGATCACTATTAAGAGATCACATTTATAAAAAGTGGTTTGCTAAGATTAGGATAATGAATTTTCAGTATGTTGAACTGGCATTGCCTGTGCGATGACCAAGTGATGGCTTAAAAATGTGGATCTGGAGCTCAGATTTGTGAGGAAGATAGCAGATATGGGGGTCATTAGTATATAGTAGTAGTTGAAACCTGAGCCGAAAGCTTATGGGTATGATAGAACATTTGCATTCATAATACCTTGATCTGTCTACCCTTTGCTAAGTATCTGACATATTTTAAATTTAGTGACTGTCATTGTGATACTACGTGCAATTAAAACAATATTATCTTCTAGGAATATAACTCAAAATATGTTGACTTGATTGAGGAACAACTCAATGAAGCACTTACTACTTATCGGAAGCCTGTTGATGGTGATAACTATGTTCGTCGGAGTAACCAAAGGTGTGTACCCAGTGCTAGTTCTCAGTTATCAGATTTAAAACCAGTTCATCATAAATTGTTTTTAACATTTCTGAGTTTTTGTACATTCTGTTTCTTACATGATATAGGAAGAATCTTAACGTGCAGCGTTAATTGCTCAAAAATTCAGTGGCATTCATAGCATGTTGAATATCCTTACTGATAACGCATTCAGATATACTCCATGCTGGCACCCCAGTATGTATCTCTAGCCCTAGATTCTCTTACCAGTACTTTGAGATCTGATAAACTGTTACAGGTTGAACATCACTTATCCAAAATGCTTGAGTCCAGAAGTGTTTCACATTTCAGATTTTTTCAGATTTTGGAATATTTGCATATATATAACGAGGTATCTTGGGAATGGTACCCAAGTCTAAACATGAAATTAATCTGTTTCATGTACACCTTATACACGTAGCCTAAACATAATTTTATGCAGTAAGTAATTTTGTGTGTGAAATAGTTTGCGTTAAATACTAATGTGTGGAATTTTCCACTTACAGTGTCATGTCAGCACTTAAAATGTTTTGGATTTTGGATCATTTTGGATTAGGGATGCTCAGCCTGTATTTTACCTGAGAAATCCTCATTCCTTCTTACTTTCATATTTTTATTTATGCTGGAGAGTTGTATCTAATTTTATTTATCAAATACTTATTAATATTCTTTTGTTCTGATTAGCATATTTAAATTATCCAGGAGATATAATAATCGTCTTTATTATACTAGATTACAGCGTCCTCATGTCTACCTGCCTATTCACCTTTATGGACAACTAGTACACCATAAAACAGGTTGCCATTTGTTGGAAGTACAGGTAAAAACATAATTCATTTATTTTAAGTAGCTACAATAGTAAAAAAACAAAATCTTAACATTGCTAAAATATTACCTTTGCAAAAAGTTCTCAGTAGCCTTAATATCAGTGGTGTAATTGCTTTTAAATTCATCTATTTTGTAATTGACTTAGGCATTCTATATTTATTAACCTGAGAAATATTAATGGCCTTGCAGTGCATTAACTGACTTGTGTATGACCTTTTGAATAACTAACTTGTTATGTAGAGTAAGCAGTCCAATGAAGGTCTGAGTTCTTTCCTTACAGTTTATTGGAGAAATTCAGATCTCCAAAAACTTACTGAAAAACTGAGTTTTTCTTCCACTCATTGGGAAATTAAACTGAACCTGATACAGATTAAGTTATCCTTGTTGAGCAGTAAATTGAAAGTTGCTGGTTGTGAGCACATTTTATTCTCATGTACTTCATGGAATGTAACAAGCATAGGCAAGCAGTTCTTTGAGTTATAATATGTACACCGCATTTATGGTTCTGAATACGTCTTGCAGCTGTTTTCAATAAATGTAACTTTTCTCTTATTTTAGAAATAGTTACAGGAATATTTGTTTATGAGACAGAATAATAGTTATTTAACAATTTAGTTCCTTTTTGTATCATTGTTCATCTCAGGAGCACAAAGTTTTACATAAATGTACTCTCTAGTTTCGTGTGTTTTTATATTATGTCTGTGAAAACTATTGGGATAGGTATTTTCATATTAACATTTGAAAATTTCACTAAAAATTTAAATGATTTTCTCAGTGTTACTACTTACATAGTATGATAAAACCTAAGCACTAATTTACTTTCTGTTTTAAAGAATAAGTATGATTGTTTAGTAATACTAAGTGCCAAGTACTTTGGTAAGCACTGTATGTGCAATAATTTATTAAATCCTGAAACCTTATGATGCAAATGTTATTATCACTCTTCTAAATATTAGGAAATCAAAGGGTGGGGAGATGAAGTAACTTGCCCAAGGCCATGCAGTTAATAAGTGATAATTCTAGAATGTGAATTCAGAACCCCTGCCCTAATGCTGCTTCTCAAGAAATTTTACATAAAATTATTTAGAATTTTAAGTATGCAAAAATGACAAAAAGCAAACCTTATATAGGTTTTATGATGCAATAAGAAAATAAATACATAAATATTTTATTACTCATGCTATTTTTTTTATTTCTCCAGAATATTATTACAGAACTCTGTCGTAATGTTCGTACACCAGATTTGGATAAATGGGAAGAAATTAAAAAACTGAAAGCATCTCTTTGGGCCTTGGTTTGTAATAAACACTTCTGTAAGATCTTTGCAATTTTTAGATTTTTCAGGTTTTTTTTTTCTTTTATACTAAATAGATAAATATTATTTTCTTTGGAACTTCTTCTTAGATTAATATTCAAGACTGGATTGTTCCTGCCAATTTAAGTATTATCTCTATGTTGAAGAATAGATGGTTGAACTATTAGTTTCGTGACTTTTGTTTTGTTGCTAAGACAACTAGAATTAATTCATGCCTAATGTTTTTTACTTGAGGAGGCTTTTCCATTTTTTTCTCTCTCAGAGATGAGGTTAAATTTGTTTCTTGGTAGCTTTCCAAATCTTTTGAAAGAGTTACTCTTGTAAATATATTTGATGTAAGTGATTCCTTTTCTTTCAGGGAAATATCGGCTCATCAAATTGGGGTCTCAATTTGCTACAGGAAGAAAACGTGATTCCAGATATACTAAAACTTGCAAAACAGTGTGAAGTTCTCTCCATCAGAGGGTAGGTCATTTAACTCAGAAATCTTTCTAATGTAGACATTGTTATTCACAAATGGATGTTAGGGAAAAGTATTTTATGATTAAGTGCAGTGCATAACTGTTAATCCACTGAAAGTTCTAATGATACAAGATTATTAACTGTATTAAGTTAAACATAAACGAACTCCTTGTTTACTATTATAATTTGATTTTTATTATGATATTGAAGTTTACCTTGTAGGTAACAGGTAAGGCATAGTGTTATACAGATATTCCAGTAGTCTAGTTGCCCAGCTGTTCCAGATTTATACTAGAAAAGCTAATATATATCTTTTTTGCTCATATTGCATTGTGTTCTTCTTATTTTGTTGTAATTACTATCTTTATTGGGAAGGTTTGCTTGTTTTTTATTGCTGCTAGTTTATTCCTAACTAGTTTTAATAAGTTTTTTTTTTTTTTTCTACAAACGAAACCATTTTGGTGGGTTTTAGAGAAAGTTCAAAGTACATATAGCAAATGAATCTGTGATTGCTTTAAGAAATCTCAGCTTGGAATTATAACTGTTTTTACTGCATCTTTTATATACAGGACCTGTGTATATGTACTTGGGCTCATAGCTAAAACCAAACAAGGCTGTGATATTCTAAAATGTCACAACTGGGATGCTGTGAGACATAGTCGCAAACATCTGTGGCCAGTGGTTCCAGATGATGTGGAACAACTCTGTAATGAACTTTCATCTATTCCAAGCACTCTAAGTTTGAACTCAGAGTCAACCAGCTCTAGACATAATAGTGAAAGTGAATCTGTGCCATCGAGTGAGTATCCTGACAGGTTCATTTAAAGTTAGCAAATGTTAATATTTATATTTGAATTTTAAAATTTAAATGTATTTGTTACATTCCTAATTTGCTTTTGTCTAAGATAATTTTTTGGCAATAATAGCCTCTTGGAGAATGTATATCTTTTCATAACACAGAGTATAATCACCAGCTTACATTGTTCTCTCTCCTTCTTAGTAGCTTTTGAGAATTCCTACAAAGTTATGTAATAAGCCATGTGCCAGAAGAACCAGTCCTCCTTTTTTTGGCAGAAAAGAAACAAATATAATAAGTATTTATTTATCTACCTTCTTTATTTAATCTTTTTACTCATTTTTCAGATACCGAGATTGTTGAGCCAGAATATATTTTTAACAGATATTACATTCACATCTTCATTTTTGAGAAAAGCACTAAATTTTAAAATAGTGAAATTGTTAATAGAGTAGCAAAAATAGTTATACATAAAATGATTTGTGGTTTTAAGTCCTGTGCTAAGTGGTGTTAGGTGTACAAAATTTAAGGCATGGTTCTTCCTTTTAAGAAGATAGTGTCAGATTTATCAGACTGTGTATTTCACCAAATCTGAGATGCCATGAATTATGAAATGTACCAATATTTTATGTACCACAAAAGAAGAAGAAAAAGTGCTGCCTGTTAAACTAGGATATACTACTATTGTAAGATGCATTCTGACTTTAGAATCAGATTCTGTGTGAAAATAGAAGAGATTAAATGTGAAAAGTGTGCATCTTACAATTGACAAAATATAGAAACGACAATGCAGTATGCAAGTTCACTTAGGATTTTCTTTTACTTTCTTTCAAAATATATTTGAAAGAGTTTATAATTATTCAACAGAGAAGTTAAAAATAAAAGAAAAATCCTATTAGATGTCATTAGGCACTCACTTGGGTTGCATCTTCTAGTAGAGTTGGGCACTAAATTTAATGAGTTTCTTAGTATCTAAGGTAAAATGGGAAATAAACATAATTTAAACATGAATTTAAAATGTTATCACTTGGTTCTCTGTAAGTATATTTTAAGATTGGGAATTCATTTCTTACAAGATGAATTTCTCCTGCCTATAGTAATTTAAAGATGAACTACCAGGAATCTGTAGTAACTGAGTAAGCATCCTTGGTCAAGTCTCCTTTTTCCCTTTAATTTCATCATGAATATTCTCATAAATTACATAATTTTACTTTTTATTCAAGTCCAAACTCTGGGTTTCAAGAAGGATATTTTCATGTAGCTGAATGGTTTAACCCTTTTTTTTTAAATTTTTTCCTCTAGATGACTAAAAAAATATTTCCTGAAATGTGATGTCACTAGTAGTTACCATGAATTTGTTATTTTTTATGTGTTTTTATTAATTGATCCTTCAATCATAGGTATGTTCATATTGGAGGATGACCGGTTCGGCAGCAGCTCTACTAGTACATTTTTCCTTGATATCAACGAAGATACAGAGCCAGCATATTATGACCGATCTGGACCCATAAAGGATAAAAATTCGTTCCCTTTCTTTGCTTCTAGTAAACTTGTGAAGAATCGTATCTTAAATTCACTTACTTTGCCTAACAAAAAACATCGTAGTAGCAGTGATCCAAAAGGAGGAAAACTGTCATCTGAAAGTAAGACAAGCAACAGGCGAATCAGAACACTTACGGAGCCCAGCGTTGATTTTAATCATAGTGATGATTTTACACCCACATCCACTGCACAGAAAACATTACAATTAGAGACTTCATTTATGGGGAATAAGCACATTGAAGACACTGGTAGTACACCAAGCATTGGAGAAAATGACTTAAAATTCACCAAGAACTTTGGTGCAGAGAATCACAGAGAAAATACAAGCCGAGAGAGGTTAGTAGTAGAAAGTTCAACAAGCTCACATATGAAGATGCGTAGCCAAAGTTTTAATACAGACACTACAACAAGTGGCATAAGTTCAATGAGCTCAAGTCCTTCACGAGAGACAGTAGGTGTAGATGCTACAACTATGGACACAGACTGTGGAAGCATGAGTACTGTGGTAAGTACTAAAACTGTTAAGACAAGCCACTATTTGACGCCACAGTCTAACCATCTGTCTCTCTCCAAATCAAATTCGGTGTCCCTGGTGCCTCCAGGTTCTTCTCATACGCTTCCTAGAAGAGCACAGTCCCTTAAAGCACCCTCTATTGCTACAATTAAAAGTCTAGCAGATTGTAACTTTAGTTACACAAGCTCTAGAGATGCTTTTGGCTATGCTACACTGAAAAGACTACAGCAACAAAGAATGCATCCATCCTTATCTCACTCTGAAGCTTTGGCATCTCCAGCAAAAGATGTGCTATTTACTGATACCATCACCATGAAGGCCAACAGTTTTGAGTCCCGATTAACACCAAGCAGGTGAGCAAATACATGTTTAGAAGTGACCAACCCTGTCTCTACTAAAAATACAAAAATTTAGCCGGGCCTAGTGGCGGGCGCCTGTAGTCCCAGCTACTCGGGAGACTGAGGCAGGAGAATGGCCGTGACCCTGGGAGGCGGAGCTTGCCGTGAGCCGAGATCGCGCCACTGCACTCCAGCCTGGGCAACAGAGCAAGACTCCGTCTCAAAAAAAAAAAAAGAAGTGACCAGTAATGGTTGCATTTTAACAGATTTAAATACAAAACGTTAGCCAGGTTTTTTTAACACTACATAAGCCTCATAACTGACCTATTATAATTGTTTACTATGGTAGGCTATAAGCTCCTTGTTACCCGATATGACTTGAAATAGATTCTTGCAGCTGCGAGGGGGGAAGAAAATCCTATAGGCCCTGAAAATAAACACACATGCTTTGCAAAGGACATACAAGTCACAAGCTTTTTTTTATTTATTTCTCGCTTCTGCAAGGATCGATTTTAAAAAGAAGCATGTCGGGGGAATCAGGAGCTTAAGACCTACAATAACAAACAACCTTTTCAGGTAGGTCAATTTAAGGCTCCACAAGTTGACCTCTTTATTATTTTTTTAAAAAGATAACTGAAAATTGCAGTCAAATTATTTTCACTTTAAGTAGCTGTGATTATTAAATAGGAACCTAATAAACACTAAATGAATTACTTGATCCTCATGACTCAGCAGGGATTTCTATACCATATTTAGATTATATCAAGCTAGTCAAAGTGAATAGTTTAGATTTTACTTTTAAAAGACACACATTATTTGTTGCAAAAAAGTTTTGTACCTATAATTTTTGTGATTGGACCAAATGCTTCTAAACAGCTTTCCTTAGTTTTAAATTATTCATTTACATTTATTTAAGTGGATTAATATATGTCAACTACTTATATGTCAACAATGTATGTTAGAATACTGTAGCACATATTAAGCACTCAATAAAAGTTAGCTATTATTTTTATCATCATTGGTTGTTATTTAATGTAATCCATCTAGCCCTTACATTATTCTTAATAACATTAAGCAGTTTTGTTTTAATAATACTTAACACATTTAATAGAGGGTTTCCTGGTAGCAGACGACAAATTATGTACCCTTGTAGGATTTAAGAAATGTTGCAGCAATGTCTCGTCTATCTGGAACTCACTAGCTTTTACAGCCTTGTCCAGGACAAAGCCAGGGAAACTTCTCAACAGCTCACTGCAGTAAATCTATGCAGTAAAGTTCATGAATTTCAAAAATTCCTAAGCCTCAGTTACCTTATCTGGTGGAGATTGCACTAGATCAGTGGTTTTAAGCTTTTGTATTGTTGTTTTTTAAGCAGAGAAATTCCTTTTCCACATAAAGATTTATATGGAAACCCAATAGGTAGAACAGATAAAAAGGGAGCTATACTGGTTGAAATAGGAATTGGGAAGGGGAATTATCCAATAATTGTTTTCCTCCCACTCCAGTAATCTTTGAAGAGTTTTATGGAATCAAAGAAATGTAACAGATTACAGTTTGAAAGACTGTTTTTTTGGGTGAAAATTAGGAGCTTGGTTTTTGCTATGATAATCTTAATAACTACTATTTAGAAAGCGTTTATTTTGTGTGTTTTACAAAATAATTCTTTGATTTAATATTAGGCTTTGATTTAATATTAGGCTGCATTCATACATTTTAAAGACTTGGTTTTCCAAATAAAAATATATTCATATAAATGTATATAAATGTGGAACCTTGCATAGTGCCTTGTATGTATACAGCAGATGCGAAGTAAATATTTTAGCGTGTCTGTTGCATAAGAATCTGTATGAGAAAGATGTATCTTATGGAAATATCAGTGTATCATATTTGTTATGGAATCTCTAGTAGTAAGGAGTATGTTGTGGAAATATCAGTACATTGCGGAAATATCAGTGCTTTATACCAGGATATCTCTTGTCATAAATGACCATTTTTCTCTTGTGTCTGTCTTGTGTGCTACATAAATCTTATGTTGATAATGAAGGCATTAAGGTAATTATCACACAAATAATGATATATAATTGATCTTATTTTTTACAAATATAATATTAAATAGAGTTAATACACATATCCTTAATTACATAAATGCCAAATCTAGTAGTCTCAAGTGATTATGAAGATAGTCCTTGGACCATGCTCTTGACTACTGAGGTCAGTTTCTTTTTTTACTTCTAGATGTTGAAAGTTATTCTAATTGCCCACCTTTTCACCTTTACCTGAGCGACCGTAACAATTGTTTTTGGTAACAGTCAACATTACTGATGACCTTTTACATAGCAGTCTATAACAGCTAATATTTTAAAGTGTTTATGTGTTCCCAGTAAACAAGATGACACTGCTTAATACATGACTAGCTGCTTGTCTTTTATGAAGGTAGGAATATATGTTATTTCTTCATATGATTAAAATAACAGGTCAAGAAACTAATACAAGTGGTTTTTTTTATGGTTTTATAGGTTCATGAAAGCCTTAAGTTATGCATCATTGGATAAAGAAGATTTATTGAGTCCTATTAATCAAAATACCCTGCAACGATCCTCCTCAGTGCGGTCCATGGTGTCCAGTGCCACATACGGGGGTTCAGATGATTACATCGGTCTTGCTCTCCCGGTGGATATAAATGATATATTCCAGGTATCATCATACATTTTATTGTTTTCCTATGAGTTGGTTTCCTGTTTTTTCATGTTCTATAACTGCTTACTAGAAGTCATAATTTAGAGTGGGCACTAGTTTGGGGCAGCATGATTTTTAAGACCGTTTTGTTTAAAGAAACTTTAAGATTAAAATTATTTTACCTTTTTCAACTACTCTGTACTCTTTTATTTAGTCCTTAGAACATTATCCTTCCCTCTCTTTCCATATTAAATCAGTATCTCATTTGATTTCTTTATCCATAGAAATTTATGTAGAAATTTGTGAAATTTCTAACTTGTTTTTTAGTCACTTTTAACTTATACTTCATTTTAAAATCCTCCTTCCTATTTATCCTATGAAAGGTAGCCACATGTGGTACCCAGTAATTTAAGGTGACCCTAATCCCAGGAGATGCCCACAGATCTCTAGATGGTATATAGTACTAAAGAACACATTTTCTTAGAAGTTTAAAGACATTTTAGATAAACACTAAAATAATTATTTTAATGTCCATTTACTCACTAAGAATATAATGAAGACTTTTTGGGTTACTTTGTTAAATTTTGGTAGTTGAACCTTCAGTAAATTTGATTATAGGTTCATATGCTATATCTATTTTAATTGTATTTTGTTTAATTTTGCTGATTTTCATAAAGTGGGCTTATTTTTATAGCAGGACTTACCATGGTTTATATCTTTTTTAGGTAAAGGATATTCCCTATTTTCAGACAAAAAACATACCGCCACATGATGATCGAGGTGCAAGAGCATTTGCCCATGATGCAGGAGGTAATGCATTGTGCTTTGTACTTGTGAGATGCCTCTTTATATTACAAAGAAAACTCTTAGTTCTTTCTAGTAGGATAACACTAAAAATTTAGGAAGACTCTCTTTTGGATCAACTTTAAAATTATACCAAAACAATTGTTAAAGTCAGCTTAAAATTAAACCACATTTGTGTGTGTGTGTGTGTGTGTGTGAGGGACTTAACATTGTTTTCAGTGAAGTACTCAACCTTTCAAGGAAATAAAAACCAAATTAGTTGTTTCTGTTTTTTAAAAGTAGCACATGAACAATGTGTAACACAAATCCTCATAGATCCAGGAAATAGCTGTTTGTTTAGAGTAAGGAGAGATAGAAATGTACTTATAAAATACACGATCTTTGTTATGAACTGTTATATTTTAATATGTAAATATAAGCCACAGGTTTTATAGCTTTATGATTTTGATGACTTTTTAAACAGATGCCTCTTTATACTTAGAATTATTACATATCTTTAGGCAAATATTGAAGATAGTTGAAATGATGCATTATATAGTCTCAGTTTTTCCGTTTTGTATTTAAAACTCTATATTAAAATAACAAACATCTACTGGCTTTCCTTATTTTTATAATTTAAGGCAAATTATTCTTTTTTTCTTTCCAGTTAGATATTTAGTCATAAAATGTGCTTTAGCTTTTTTAAAAATTTCACATAATTTAAGGTACCTTGAAAAGTACTATCTTTATTGGATTATGTTTTATATCTACTTATGCACAGGTCTTCCATCTGGAACTGGAGGTCTTGTAAAAAATTCTTTTCACTTGCTACGACAGCAGATGAGTCTTACGGAAATAATGAATTCAATCCATTCAGATGCCTCTCTGTTTTTAGAAAGTACAGAAGACACTGGACTACAGGAACATACAGATGATAACTGCCTTTATTGTGTCTGTATTGAAATTCTGGGTTTCCAGCCCAGCAACCAACTAAGTGCAATATGTAGTCATTCAGGTAAGTGATCATGTCCTTTGAGGTAAATCCACTTGAATTTGAATCTGACTTGTAAGCCACAAGTCATCTCCCAGCCCTATTAATCATATATACCCTCTTGCTCCATTCTCACTATCTCAGCCTTAGTTCAGTCACTTAGCTTCTCCCTACTGAAGTGTTAGTATTTTAGCCTCTAATTTTGGTCTCTTCCAATTCATCTTTCATACTATATCCTGGAATTAATCTGTGTGCAATTCTTTAATGGCTATTCATTCTTAACACACAAGACACTGTGTCATCTGTCTAGTGGTCTTTTTTACCTTCCTCCTTTCCTGCAGTTGACATATCTTTACTAACTGAACTGACCTGAAGTTTTTGAACAAATTTTTAGGCTTGAAAAACATATTTTCCCTGCTATCCTCTCTTTGCTCTTTACCCTGCCTACACATACGTGGTCTATTTGGCAAGTCCACCTCATCCTACATGTCAGCATTATTTGGCCTGTGAAGTCTTCTCTGACTCTGAGGCAGGTGTTGACACTCCTTCCTGTTTCCTCTCATTGTCCTTTGCACATAGATCTCTTATGACAATTATGACTATTACAACTTGGTTATTTTTGTTCTTCCACTCAGTTAAGTTCAGTTTGGGTATGGTCTGTCAGTCTTTACATTTTTATATTTCTGATACCTATGTATGTACTGCTTTGTACAGCAGGCCCATAATATGTATTTGGTAAGTAAATAAAGTAGACCTACATTGAGCTTTTTTTTTTTTTAATCAACAAGTGACATATATTAGCAATTTTAAATAAGTATATGTGTGTTTAAAGTATTACCTTTTCTTGGTGAATATCACTTAACCACCTTCAGAAAAACCTGGTGATGACTAAAGTTCTCTGGTTTACTTTTCCAAATTTCTTTTTGGTATTCTAATTCAGAGTTTCCCAGCAGGTGAGTTGCAGCACATTGATATGCCAAATTATGTTATGCTGAGATGCTGATGCTCTCATGGTTCCAGGTCACAGTGGGGCCTGAGTCTGACAGATCCCTGGAGTAGGCCTTTTCCACTGTGAACAGCCCTGTCCGGGCCCTTTTCATGCTATAATCATTTTCTATGAGGAAAAAAGTTTTGGAGTGTTTGGTGTATTGCATGCAATTAGAGAAGATGTTATTTTATATTCTTTCATTTCAGTGTGCAATGTAAGCACAGGAATTAAGCCGTTGTGGTGCTTTAATTGAAATAATTATTTTTTTTCTTCAGACTTTCAAGATATTCCATATTCTGATTGGTGTGAGCAGACCATCCATAATCCCTTAGAAGTGGTTCCCTCTAAGTTTTCGGGGATTTCTGGATGCAGTGATGGGGTGTCTCAAGAAGGCTCAGCTAGCAGCACCAAAAGCACGGAATTGTTACTAGGTGAGTCTTCGGATTCAGATCCAGTCATTATTAGTAAAACTGTTATTAGTTGGTTTTGTTTTTCGTAAATACTGTAAATTAAAGTTGTCTCAAAACAATAATACGTCCATTTTAGTGAAGCAATTTAACACTGTTAAATATTGCACCTATATCACCCACTGATGTAGAGCCTCTTAGCTATCTACTTTTATTAGAGTTTTGCTCCCAAAATGATAGGCAGATCATGTGTAATTGATCTCAGTTCTAGGTCTTTAGGTGAAGTTTAAAAATAAATTTCATGATTTTTAATCATTTTTGTTGTGATATAGATAATATTTAACTTCTCCCTGAAATCTTTTAGGTGTTAAAACAATTCCAGATGATACACCAATGTGCCGTATACTCCTTCGCAAAGAAGTTCTAAGATTAGTCATTAATTTGAGTAGTTCAGTTTCAACTAAATGTCATGAGACTGGGCTTTTAACGTGAGTAAACTATGTGCATAAGTATTATTTGTTTATTCTGTTTTTTAAGTTGAGAAAAGATTCTTGAAATACTTCAAAAGTTAGGCTAGTTAACTTACATCAGTAGTTCATCAGTAGTTCTAAACTGCATTGCATACCTGTGTGAGGCTAGATTTTCTTTAATACTTCAACCAAAACAACATATGGCAACAGATCAAATGCAGAAGCGAGTATGAGAATCCAGCTATCTTCTATTAAGCCACACTTTTGAAGAGATCTGCAAAAAATGTAAAATAATGCCACTCTTCTCACTTTTTTACTTTTGGAAAATACAGTTATTTTTATTAAAATATATGTTATTTATGTTAACATGTAGTGGATTTATTTTTAAAATAATTCATGTTAGGAAATTCTCTCAATTTTAACTTCTAATATAGTAGTTAATGGTCACTATAACCCACACAAAAATAAGCTTTTTTGGGTACTCAGTAATTTTTAAGAAAGTCCTGAGACCAAAAAGTTTGAGGAAGGTGGACTTACATGTAACAAGTCATAATTTCTTGTAACAAGTCATAATTTCTTGGTTTAATTTTTTTCTTATTACTTAAAGCAGTGATTCTCAAAAGGAATGCACCTCAGGGTCTCCTGTAGGACTTTTTTTTTTTTTTAAGACAGTCTTGCTCTGTTGCCCACACTGGAGTGCAGTGGGGCACAATCTTGGCTTACTGCAACCTCCGCCTCCCAGGTTCAAGCGATCCTCCTGCCTCAGCCTCCCGAGTAGCTGAGATTACAAGTGTGCACCACCACACCCAGCTAATTTTTGTATTTTTAGTAGAAACATAGTTTTGCCATGTTAGCCAGGCTGGTCTCAAACTCCTGACCTCAGGTGATCCACCTGCCTCAGCCTCCCAAAGTGCTGGGATAACAGGCAGGAGCCACCATGCCCGGCCAGCTGTAGGGCTTTTTTAAAGAGTGATATAGGTATTGGGGTCCCACATAGGTATCAGGGTCCCACAGCAGACCTCTAGGCCAGGAGCTCTGGGAGTGGTCCCTTAACTGGTCGCCCACCCAACCCACAGCTGATTCTGAGGTGCTCTCCTAGCTAAAAGCTGTTATTTGAAGTATCTGAAGAAATAGTCTGGTCAGGGATGTTAACAACTTAACTTTAAAGATGTATTTCTATTTTAAAACTTAATTTTGAACATATTTTAATCATCCTAGGCTGATAAATACATTCTGCAGTTTCTCACGCCAATGAAAAAGAATGCTTCAACTTTACGAGAAGTATTCAGGTTTTGATAATCTTTTTTTTTTTTTTAAACCCAAACTCAGAATATCTAAGTGTGTGAGAGGAATATTTAATATTTTATATTCTCAAGTCATCACCCCAAGTATGCTGTCTAATCCATATCTGTAGGGAAATATATTTTTAAAGTAAGTGATACCTTGGAGGAAAAATAGATACATCATGATTACAGTTTTCATCACACCATAATCTTTTATTTTAGAATTAAGGAGAAGTATCCTCAAACATTTGATGACATATGCCTTTACTCTGAGGTTTCCCACTTGCTGTCACACTGCACATTCAGACTTCCGTGTCGGAGGTTCATACAAGAATTATTTCAAGATGTACAGTTTCTACAAGTAAGTATGATTAGTACTTCTCAAATTTATCTTTCAAGAATAATTCAGTGTTTGAATTAAAATACACATTATAGTTGGGTGTGGTGACTCATGCCTACAATCCCAGCACTTTGTGGGGTCAATGCGGGAGAATTGCTTGAGCCCAGGAGTTCAAGACCAGCCTGGGCAACATAGTGAGACTGAGTCACTACAATTTTTTTTTTTTTTAATTAGCCAAGGGTGGTGGCATGTACCTGTATTCCCAGCTACTTGGGAGGCTGAGGTGGGTGGATCATTTGAGTCCAGGAGTCAGAGGTTGCAGTGAGCAAAGATGGCAACACTGCACTCCATCCTGGGAAGACTGAGCAAGACCCTGTCTCAAAAAAAATTATATATTTATATAAACATGTTATATATTTTTATAAAAGTCATTAATGATACACCATTTTTTCCCTAGATGCATGAAGAAGCAGAGGCTGTGTTGGCAACACCACCAAAGCAACCTATAGTTGATACATCTGCTGAATCCTGACCTCATATTTATGATGGATATAGATATATACTATATATATTCATATTTGTGGATTTCCTAAAAGCCTCAGAAAATACAACTGACTAGGCAGCAAAGACAGGAGTATCTTCTGTACACTGTTCCGCAGTTACTGGTACATGAACAGTTGGAACTGCTGACTTTCCTAACCAAAACAACTTCCCTCTCTCCTTTGTTGAGCCTTTTGAGGGGTTCATGATTCATTACCACAGTTTTAAGAATTTTAGTTACCATTGTAGCAAGAGCCAAGCACTGAATACCTACATAGGTTTTCTATTTTTTTCATTTTAAAAACATAATGACAGTGGAACAATAATGGGATATGCAGAAGCACCCTTCACAAGTTATTTCTGAATTATTTTTAGGGTAAATACACAGATGCCTTGTTTGTTAACTAATTTGTGGAAAGCAGGAATCAGTGTCTCTAAGGCTGCATCCTGTTACCACAATGGGGTGTGCTATAACTGCTGGTATTAGAGAGGGAACTTTGGCCCTTTCACGTTTTTTCTTAAATGTTTGTAACACTACTTCAGAGGTTTATAACCTCAAAGCAAAAGAAGAGCCTCAACAACCTGGGACGTATAAGTTATTTTTATGTTACTAGACTTGCATAAAGATTCTTGTTTTCCAACTCTTCATTTTGTTGCAATGTGTTATTACAGGATATATGAACCAATTAAGGTTTTTCACTACAGTTCTTGAATAAAATTTAAAAATCATTTTTTATTTTAATTAAAAATATTTCCCATTTATAGAGTGCATATATTTGCAATGGACTTCCACTTTCATCAACTTTCCATCTCATCGCTTTAAACAGGAACTTGAACAAGCACTGTTAGTTTAGACCTAAAGGATAGGAAAGCATTAAATACTACTTTGGATCTCCTGAGGAAAAGATAAGTTTGCTTGCAATTTACACATTCCATGGAGGAAAGAAGAGCCATATTTCCTTTAAAAAAATCATTAATAAAGCTTGTTATTAAGAAAAATTGTAGTGAAAAGCCTTAAGTACCAAATTTTAAAGCAGCAGTAACTTAATTTTTATATCAGTGTTTTTGTTTTGCACAAACTAAATGCAGTGATAGGTGGGTTTATGAGTATATTAATTGCCTTTTTCCATTTGTGAAGTTAAGTTGATGAGGGCAAGGTTTTTGTTTGTTTAATTTGTATATGTCTAAAGATATTTGGAAATTTTTACAGGATTTAAACATATATGCAAATTTGTATATAAAAATAGCATGGCCATCATCATTTGAATGCTTGTAAATGAAAGGATTATCTTTTTTGAGATCTATATATAAATAGAAATAGAAAATCCAGCTGGACTGATTAGGATTCTTTTTTAATTCATTTGTGTATAACATTTTTATTACAATTACACATCAGTTTTGACACAGTCATAGCAACATTAATATTTTCCCATGATGCAGATCCTTTTTGTAATGGGCTTGTTCTTTGAGATCTCTGTAAAGAACCCTGTGAACTAGAAAACATAACTCACAGAGATACTTTTTTAAAAAATTTATTTACTGGCACTGAAAGTTCCAGTTGGGATGAAGCATTTCGTCTCACTACATAACACCTCTTTGACTGCACTTCAGTGAATTGTTCTTATGTGCACTGTGTAGCAACTTACATTATAACAAAGCAGATAAGGGCTGTAAGCTGCTGCTTATGTTGAAAAGTGGTTCTTCAGATTTCCTCTCATAAAATCCAATTGAAGATAATTTTTTTATACTTTATCACTGAACCCAAGTGTTTATTTAAATGTCGACAGTACTTCTAAGAACGTTGCCTGTCATCGTGGTCTTTGGTCTTGGATAACTAAACTGCCTTTCCAGAGAACCAAATGTCAGAGTTACTAGACCAAATAGTGGTTAAAACCTCCAAAGGAAGTAATGTAGTAATCTTATTCATAATGGGATTAACATATTTTAGACATTCGTTTTAAACACTACCTCAGTTAATATAGAGTATAAAATCTGTGGTTTAATCCCTCAAAAGTTAACAGTGATTTTTTTTTTTTTGTCTTACACACATACACACCCCCTCCCCCACCATCACTATCCCTGTACCCCCACCTTGGTCATCTATCCTGAAATAAGGCTTAGTTAGTATTGGCCTGAATGTTTTGTGGGTTTTTTTTACTGTTACTTTGAAAAATATGTATGTATACATTATCATATTTGCCTATATCACTTACTTTGGGGAGATACTCAGAGCTTTGTGGTTATCAGTATACTAAAAAAAAAAAAAAGTCTATGCTTAAATTTATAGTGCTATTTGGTTTCTCCATGATTTCACTGACAGGTCTAATACATTTTCTTTGAGTACTTGTTTGTAAAAAGTAGACTTTATGGTGAAAAATACATGCAGTGCCAAGTGATTAACTTAGGTGTTTAAAAATATTATAGCAGAAGAGGTTAGGAATGATATCAGCAGTAATAGAAATAATTGAGAAAATCATCTATAAATAATAGATATTACAGACTATAGAATACCAAAATAATGTCAATACTGTAGTTTTTAAAGATTTTAGGATTAATCTTAGTCCATATAAATTTGTACTATTGGTAATTATTGAATAATTTGGAGGAATTTGGGCAGTTGTGCTGGTTGTAAACTGTGAATTTCTAGTCGTAAAGTGAATTGTTATTTCTAATTGAACTTTTTTTCAAGAACAGATTTCAGCCTCACATACTAAGTAAATACTGATAAATAAGGAAATCAGAAATTTAGTATTCATAATTAAATATGCTCTAAAATTTATTATACTTTTATTTCCTGTTTATTCTTAGGTAGATTGGAGGGGGGAAACAGTCTGTTCTCCCTAATTAAAATTTTTCTAATAACAATTAGCAGAATAAGGACATTCTATATGACAGTGACATTAAAAGAGGCTCTTTGGAAGTATATACATTATTATAATGTAATAATGTGTACAAGTCCTTTGAAATGACAACTTTAATGGGTTTCAGCTCTTTTATCTAGAGCTCGAGATAATTAAAGCTGAGTTTTTCAGGGCATATCTATCACAGCGGCAAAGTGTTCAACAGTGGGATATCAATGCTTATTTAGATTTTCCTACTGCTATTTATATAAAATGTTATTTCATTCCGTTCAGAGGATGCCTTTTATCCCCACATTAAAGCACAGATCATTAAGCAATAAAAACCAAATTGTCTGTCATTCAAATTATAACTGCAGTTATTTTTGCATGGTAAGAGTGAGGTGCTAATTTTGTGTGAGATGAACTTTGTAAACTACTTTGGGAAATGTTCTTTGGAAGTAAGATTTTTTTCCCCTTTAGTCTTATGTTTCCAGTTTTGTCTCAGATTCACAATCCATTAAAACATGGGAAAAAAGAAAAGGTAAAATTGAGAGACTTTTATTAGAAGAGCTGTTTGGAATGAACCAACATTTCAGATTTTCCAAAACATAAGTTAGGAAAAGTCTCCATTGTCTCTGCATTAACAAAATACACTGTTACTATCTTAATCTCAAAAGTGTCATTACAGTGAGAATCTCATGTAAAAGCATACCAGTGAAATTAATAGCAGTGCTTATCAAAGAACACAAATCTGTGAGAATCTAGGAGCATTGTTTTTTTCTTTCAGTTCCAAGTTCCAGGGTATTTTTCATTCCTAGTAGGTTTATATGACTCACAGAATGTGGACTTTTTTCCTGTTTGAAGTATTTTTGTAATGTAATATCGGATAGCTACACCACAGCATGCATAAATTGCACATTTTGTTTTACTTTCTTTATAGAATATTTAATTTCAAAAATATAATTTATGCCAAAAAAAGCATACCTTTCAATTTTGCTACTTGGTTGATTTAGCACAAAATGCAAAGTCTTGGGGCAGAGAGGGGGAGTGAAAAAAAAATTGTAGGTAATTGTTACAAAAATGCCTGTCAGAAACCCTAAAGCTGCATTGTAAAACAAATGGTGTAAATTAGTTTTGAAAAGTGGTAAGGAATTGTGAAAAAAGTGTCAGACTTAATGCTCTCTAACCACATGATTTTCTTCTTTTTTATTTAGTAATACGCTGCTACATATTTGGAGGTTCTGGTGTTTGTAGGTCACTGAACAGACATTGAAATCTGATTTATATTGTATAACTGTAACATAGAAAGAAAAAGTATTTATATTTTTTCTGTAAGAATATTTCATTGAGTTGTGTATAATTTAAATAAGATTTGTCCCCAAATGGTTTTGCTCACCTTGATTTTTTTTGTTGTGATTCTCTTGTTTTTGTATAATGTGTACAGTTTATGTCAAGGGCATTAAAAGCCTCCTGAAGCATAATCTTATCAAAGGGATACATTGTTAATAAAATGTACTTAAAATTCTTAAACTTTGTCATTGTTTTATTTGAAATATTAAAATAATCAGTGGTCATATGGCCTTGATTTGAGTCCTGTAATGCTGATGCTGACACATGTGACTCCAAGCAAAAGTGACTTTTAGGTACCACAGACATGTAGAGTGGCTGTTACAATATTTTAAAGTAATATTCTTCTTAAACACTTCATAATTAAACATCTTTGTAGTTTTTTAAAATATCTATAGGGATTTGGAAAATAGGTCTTTAGATAGAACAGCTCTGAATTTTTTGAGGAAATAATGTACAATATGAGTGATGATGGTATGACAATGGTGACATCTCTGTGGAAGGTATTTGATGTCTCACACATAAACTGCCCTGATTGAATAAGCTTACCTACAGCTACCTACTGGCAAAAGAGAATACCACAGAAATTACGAATTCTAGAGGATAAAGTTGAGTGTCAAAGTTAGGGTCTGTTAATAAAATATGGTAAAATATATATCTCACTTCAAGAAACATTTTGGACAGTTTGGCAAATTTCTGTACATTTTTCCCAATGTCTTCCACTGTATATGTCATTGAAAATATAGTTGGCCCCAAAATAAACTAAAAAGCATACTTACAAATTCATCATGCCGCTGATCTTTTAAAAAAGTCCTAATGCAGCGGAACTTGGAAAATACTGTTTCATTTTTAAAACTCTTTAGTATATAAAATACTCAAAAATACAGTACTAGTTCGGTATTGATTTTAAGAAACTAAAATATACTAAAACTTCCCTTAATGCTTAGAGGAATAAAACAACTATGCTTTCAAATTGAATATACCTATTGTGTTGTAAACATCTTAACTGAAAGTTCTGAAAACTCTCTTCTACTGTTTCTCTCTCTTCCAGAGTTTTAAAATTTCTACTTTATGCAGAGTGCTTTAACATGCTTTGTAAATTTGAGATGAAAGCTTATCTTTCAACAGAACTCTTAGAAGTGTTAATAAGATACTAAGTCTTGATGTTCTTAATCAGTACACACTCTAGTAGGTAACAAGGTTGACCCTAATTAGTTTGGGTTAGGTGTTTGAATGTAGGAAGCGTTTCAGCAGTCTCTGTTGTGTGAAGAGGTCCCAACTCCAATCCTGAATTGTTGAGGTCCCCCGCACACAGGTGAGGACCGTGCACAGGCTGATGCAGGATTTAAAGGCCATTAATGCCAGTGCCGTCCACCACTCAAATACCCTATTTTTAAGGAATTACTACTGTGATTTTAGGTGCAATTTTTAACAATTAGTATGACTATATTAGAAAAAGTAGAGCTTAGAGAACTCAGATATTTACATGAAATCATGATACCATGATTTGCGTCAAAACGTGGAGTGTGAACAGAGGTATGGATGGAGCTGAAACAGTCATGGGTAGTGGCCATTGGGACTGGTGGTGATACATAGTGGTTTATTAAACTTCTACTTTTGTGTATATTTGAAATTCTCTATTTTTCTGACACATGAATATGTATTTCAAAGTTTCTGAATAACACTTCCTAAAGCCATGTTAAGATGGCATATAGTATTGAAAACTAAAGTTTTGAACATGAATTTATTTGGTTATGACCATTGGAGAAGAAATGTTTACAGTCAAGACTATAGGTCAGAGTGATACTATGAAGACAAACGTTACATAGCCCAGCATTTCCTATTGGCATGTTGTTGTATTTCAGAAAGACTTCATTTGATTTAGGCCAGTGATTCTCAAAGTTTAGTGTGTAGATGAATGCCTGGGAACTGATGAAAAATAGATTCCAGGTCCATGCCCCAAAGATTCTGATTAAGAGGTTTGTAGTCATACCCAGGAATTTACATTTTTATTTAGTAAGTTCATGAGGTGATGTATCTAATTACTAGATTTTCATTTCATTGAGGGAGGTAAAACAATGTGATGATGAAATATTTTAATTAAGGTTTATTTCAGTATTAAAAATGACTTCAAGGTTTTGTGTGAATTATTTTTTAAACAAAACTATATGAAAAATATGTACAAATCAGTCACCAATGTCATTGACATTTTTGTGAACAAGTTTCAAATGAAAAATGTAATCCCATCATAACAAAGGTACATAAATAAATAAATGCTGACAATACTGGCCCTAAAGTCTAACACAACTGTTAGACTAATCAGGATACCACTTTCTACTACGTGAGGAGCACATAATCAATGTTTCCAGCAAAAGGCAAGTACTGGTTTGTGTAGGTTTATTTAGGTCCGTTGACAGCCACATTATTTTGAGGTGTGGCTACTTGTTTCTCTTCATAGTGTTGAAGGGCACAGTGCAAGGCATTGGGCACCAGAGGCATAAGCATAGGCAGAGCCATTTCTACCATGCTGACGGCAGGCAGGAAGACAAAAGGAACCCCTTTCGTGCTTGTTTGGAAATGTGACGGCTAGGTGCAGTGGCTCACGCCTGTAATCCCAGCACTTTGGGAGGCTGAGGTGGGCGGATCACCTGAGGTCAGGAGTTCCAGACCAGCCTGACCAACATGGTGAAACCCCATCTCTACTAAAGATACAAAATTAGCTGGGTGTGGTGGTGCATGCCTGTAATCAGAACTACTCGGGAGGCTGAGGCACGAGAACTGCTTGAACCTGGGAGGCGGAGGTTGCAGTGAGCCAAAGTTGCATCATTGCACTCCAGCCTGGGCAACAAAAGCAAAATTCCATCTCAAAAAATAAAAAATAAATGTGACCAATAATGTGACAAATAGGCTGGGCATGGTGGCTCACACCTGTAATCCTAGCACTTGGGGAAGCTGAGGCAGGTGGATCACCTGAGGTCAGGAGTTCGAGACCAGCCTGGCCAACATGGTAAAACCCTGTCTCTACTAAAAATATAAAAACTAGCCAGGTGTGGTAGTGTGCACCCGGAGTCCTAGGTGCTCCGGAGGCTGGGCAGGAGAACTGTTTGAATCCGGGAGGCGGAAGCTGCAGTGAGCTGAGATTGCACCAAGAGAACCAACATGTACTAAAATATCAGTTGTGTACCAGGTGCTTTGCATATATTAGTTTGGAATATATTGGTTCAGAGGAGACAAAGTTTCTCCAAAGCCAACATGGAATTTCCCACTCCATAGAACTTTTTAGTTATATCTAAATTATGTCCAACAATGGGTTTCATTTTACCATTTTAGCATAATATGAATATAACTGTGACAGAGTTATCTTGGCCCAGACAACGTAGTGCAGAGTCCAAAGCATGCCAAGTGAAAACAGGCTGTTTATAGCCAGTTCTTGAAAGGAAAGGAACCAAACACTGAATGGAATTACGTGATATACTTTCCTTTTTATGTTCTGAGGTAGTCATCAAAAATTACGGTAGAATACTGATGTCTATGGAGCAGATGTACAACTGACAGTAAGTCAGAAGTTATTTGCCAATCCCATTCTTTCACTGTAGTAAGCTTGACAGAAGAATTGTGGAAATCTTGTTGATTGATCACACATTTTACATATTAGATTAGATCTATACCCCCCGCCCCACCCACAGAGTTAATTTTACTGTGTCCGTGAACTATAGATTCTTACCCGTTCAAGGTAAGTCTAAAATCTGTCCTGGCCTCAGACACCTGAGTTTTTTTCATTCAATACACTCAGTAAATTTACATTGATAATTTATGCTGTAGTAATAAGTCTCCTGTGGCCTTTATTAAAGCCTTCAATCTAAGAATTGCTTTTAATGGAAATATTTCCTCAGTAAAAAATGAACTTCTAGGCCCACAGCCACCCTGTACAGTACTGAGTGGGAGTCTGTAGAGTGGTTAATACATATCCTTGTGTCAAGCTCAAGTCTCCTGTTCTAAAGGTGAGCCTGGAACAAACAGCAGCAAGGTAAGCATGCTCCCATGATCCTGCCATTTCTAGGGCAAGCCTGCTCCAATGGGGAGTGTTAAGTTCCATAGCTTCTGGCCTTTAACCTAGCCAGATTGTAGTGGTCTTACATAAACCAGACCTGCAAATCATACTGGGATTAAGGACCAAGGCCACTGGTGATGAGAGGGTGCCAGCTCTGCTCTTCGTAATGTCTGTGTAGCATAAGGTATGAAATCGGCATGCTGGTTAGCGGTAGTGTTCACCTGGATCTAAAAGGGTAATTGAGGAAAGGCTGCTATTCTCGGTCGGGGGAGGCAGGGCAAGACGCAGGGGGACTGCCATTTGCATTTTATACTCTGAACAGTGTGGTGGCTCCACTGGGTTTGTTGGGAGACTGTCCTTGTCTCCAGACATGGGTGAAGCCAACTGGGACACATAATTCAAACTTGTTTCTCCAGCTGGGACTTCTCCCAGGGAGTTCATGTAGTTTTTTTCTAGCGCCTTTAGTACATTTTCAGGTGAGGTCATTAGTCCCAGCATACTTGGTGGGGCTTTGGGGGGTACTGGAACATGGCCACAAGAGCCAGCGTCAGAAGCTGCCTGGTTGTAGGTAAAGTTCTCAAAACAGATGCAGGGGCCAGGGCCAGAGTGAGTCTTTTCTGTTGGAAGGAGATAAAGGTAGTTAGGCTTAGTCAACTCAGTTTCTGTGAGTGACTTCCTAGTGCCTAGGAGCTGTATCTTTGTCCCTTCTGGCTTGCTTACAACTTCAATAGCATCTGGGATACAGTCACTGACATTCATTATTGTTAGGTGAGGGTTCTCCTAGAAAGGAAACAAAAATATGTAAATATAGACATTTGTGTGCATGCATACATGCATCAAAGTAGATTAAGCGTGTGAAATACACTTAGAGCTTCAATGTTGTTTATGTTCCTTCCTGGTCACAAGTAACCTGGAGGTGAAGTTGAAAACCAAAAGACGTCCCCTGACAGAAGAAATCAAAGCTCCAATCACCTATTTCATGGCTATGGGTATAAAGGTGGCTTTTACTGTGCTATATTTTCCTGAGGAGCTCTAGGAAAGTAGGATTCTGACAGCCCCCACTCTGGGTTAGTCCTTAATAGGTGTATGATATACATACAATTTGCCAACATTTACCTTGAATTTTATTAAC